ACCCTCGCCGCTCTCACCCTCCTCGCGTCGTTCTTGGCTGGTCAGGCCATGCTGGCCCACAACACCGCCGTTCTCACATTCCCCGCGTTGCACCTTGGCTGGTCAGGCCATGCGGGCTCACACCGCCGCCGTTCTCACATTCCCCCGCGTTGCACCTTGGCTGGTCAGGCCATGCGGGCTCACACCCTTGCCGCTCTCACCCTCCTCGCTTCATTCTTGGCTGGTCAGGCCATGCGGCTCACACCGCCGCCGTTCTGACATCCCTCTCGTAGCGCATGGGCTGGTCATGCCACGCGGTCTCACACCCTTGCCGTTCTCACATTTCTCGCGTTGCACCTTGGCTGGTCAGGCCATGCTGGCCCACAACACCGCCGTTCTCACATTCCCCGCGTTGCACCTTGGCTGGTCAAGCCATGCGGGCTCACACCGTCGCCGTTCTCACATCCCTCGCATTACTCTTGGCTGGTCAAGCCATGCGGTCTCACACCCTTGCCGTTCTCAGCCTCCTCGCTTCATTCTTGGCTGGTCAGGCCATGCAGCTCACACCGCCGCCGTTCTGACATCCCTCTCGTAGCGCATGGGCTGGTCATGCCACTCGGTCTCACACCCTTGCCGTTCTTACATTCCTCGCGTTGCATCTTGGCTGGTCAGCCCATCCGGGCCTCACACCCTCGCCGCTCTCACCCTCCTCGCTTCGTTCTTGGCTGGTCAGGCCATGCTGGCCCACAACACCGCCGTTCTCACATTCCCCGCGTTGCACCTTGGCTGGTCAGGCCACGCGGTCTCACACCCTTGCCGTTCTCACATTCCCCCGCGTTGCACCTTGGCTGGTCAAGCCATGCGGGCTCACACCGCCGCCGTTCTCACATCCCTCGCATTACTCTTGGCTGGTCAAGCCATGCGGTCTCACACCCTTGCCGTTCTCACCCTCCTCGCTTCATTCTTGGCTGGTCAGGCCATGCAGCTCACACCGCCGCCGTTCTGACATCCCTCTCGTAGCGCATGGGCTGGTCATGCCACTCGGTCTCACACCCTGGCCGTTCTCACATCCCTCGCGTTGCACCTTGGCTGGTCAGGCCATGCGGGCTCACACCCTTGCCGCTCTCACCCTCCTCGCTTCATTCTTGGCTGGTCAGGCCATGCAGCTCACACCGCCGCCGTTCTGACATCCCTCTCGTAGCGCATGGGCTGGTCATGCCACGCGGTCTCACACCCTTGCCGTTCTTACATTCCTCGCGTTGCATCTTGGCTGGTCAGCCCATCCGGGCCTCACACCCTCGCCGCTCTCACCCTCCTCGCGTCGTTCTTGGCTGGTCAGGCCATGCTGGCCCACAACACCGCCGTTCTCACATTCCCCGCGTTGCACCTTGGCTGGTCAGGCCATGCGGGCCCACAACACCGCCGTTCTCACATTCCCCGCGTTGCACCTTGGCTGGTCAGGCCATGCGGGCCCACAACACCGCCGTTCTCACATTCCCCGCGTTGCACCTTGGCTGGCCAAGCCATGCGGGCTCACACCGCCGCCGTTCTCACATCCCTCGCATTACTCTTGGCTGGTCAAGCCATGCGGGCTCACACCCTTGCCGCTCTCACCCTCCTCGCTTCATTCTTGGCTGGTCAGGCCATGCAGCTCACACCGCCGCCGTTCTGACATCCCTCTCGTAGCGCATGGGCTGGTCATGCCACTCGGTTTCACACCCTTGCCGTTCTTACAATCCTCGCGTTGCATCTTGGCTGGTCAGCCCATCCGGGCCTCACACCCTCGCCGCTCTCACCCTCCTCGCGTCGTTCTTGGCTGGTCAGGCCATGCTGGCCCACAACACCGCCGTTCTCACATTCCCCGCGTTGCACCTTGGCTGGTCAGGCCATGCGGGCTCACACCGCCGCCGTTCTCACATTCCCCCGCGTTGCACCTTGGCTGGTCAGGCCATGCGGGCTCACACCCTTGCCGCTCTCACCCTCCTCGCTTCATTCTTGGCTGGTCAGGCCATGCAGCTCACACCGCCGCCGTTCTGACATCCCTCTCGTAGCGCATGGGCTGGTCATGCCACGCGGTCTCACACCCTTGCCGTTCTCACATTCCTCGCGTTGCATCTTGGCTGGTCAGCCCATCCGGGCCTCACACCCTCGCCGTTCTCACATTCCCCGCGTTGCACCTTGGCTGGTCAGGCCATGCTGGCCCACAACACCGCCGTTCTCACATTCCCCGCGTTGCACCTTGGCTGGTCAGGCCATGCGGGCTCACACCGCCGCCGTTCTCACATTCCCCCGCGTTGCACCTTGGCTGGTCAAGCCATGCGGGCTCACACCGCCGCCGTTCTCACATCCCTCGCATTACTCTTGGCTGGTCAAGCCATGCGGTCTCACACCCTTGCCGTTCTCACCCTCCTCGCTTCATTCTTGGCTGGTCAGGCCATGCAGCTCACACCGCCGCCGTTCTGATATCCCTCTCGTAGCGCATGGGCTGGTCATGCCACTCGGTCTCACACCCTGGCCGTTCTCACATCCCTCGCGTTGCACCTTGGCTGGTCAGGCCATGCGGGCTCACACCCTTGCCGCTCTCACCCTCCTCGCTTCATTCTTGGCTGGTCAGGCCATGCAGCTCACACCGCCGCCGTTCTGACATCCCTCTCGTAGCGCATGGGCTGGTCATGCCACTCGGTCTCACACACTTGCCGTTCTTACATTCCTCACGTTGCACCTTGGCTTGTCAGCCCATCCGGGCCTCACACCCTCGCCGCTCTCACCCTCCTCGCGTCGTTCTTGGCTGGTCAGGCCATGCTGGCCCACAACACCGCCGTTCTCACATTCCCCGCGTTGCACCTTGGCTGGTCAGGCCATGCGGGCTCACACCGCCGCCGTTCTCACATTCCCCCGCGTTGCACCTTGGCTGGTCAGGCCATGCGGGCTCACACCCTTGCCGCTCTCACCCTCCTCGCTTCATTCTTGGCTGGTCAGGCCATGCGGCTCACACCGCCGCCGTTCTGACATCCCTCTCGTAGCGCATGGGCTGGTCATGCCACGCGGTCTCACACCCTTGCCGTTCTCACATTTCTCGCGTTGCACCTTGGCTGGTCAGGCCATGCTGGCCCACAACACCGCCGTTCTCACATTCCCCGCGTTGCACCTTGGCTGGTCAGGCCATGCGGGCTCACACCGTCGCCGTTCTCACATCCCTCGCATTACTCTTGGCTGGTCAAGCCATGCGGTCTCACACCCTTGCCGTTCTCACCCTCCTCGCTTCATTCTTGGCTGGTCAGGCCATGCAGCTCACACCGCCGCCGTTCTGACATCCCTCTCGTAGCGCATGGGCTGGTCATGCCACTCGGTCTCACACCCTGGCCGTTCTCACATCCCTCGCGTTGCACCTTGGCTGGTCAGGCCATGCGGGCTCACACCCTTGCCGCTCTCACCCTCCTCGCTTCATTCTTGGCTGGTCAGGCCATGCAGCTCACACCGCCGCCGTTCTGACATCCCTCTCGTAGCGCATGGGCTGGTCATGCCACTCGGTCTCACACCCTTGCCGTTCTTACATTCCTCGCGTTGCATCTTGGCTGGTCAGCCCATCCGGGCCTCACACCCTCGCCGCTCTCACCCTCCTCGCGTCGTTCTTGGCTGGTCAGGCCATGCTGGCCCACAACACCGCCGTTCTCACATTCCCCGCGTTGCACCTTGGCTGGTCAGGCCATGCGGGCCCACAACACCGCCGTTCTCACATTCCCCGCGTTGCACCTTGGCTGGTCAGGCCATGCGGGTCCAGCACTTCTCACGTCCCCTGCATGCACCATTGCTAATGTGGGCAGGTCCGCCCTGTAACATATCCCCTCCCAGCACTCGCCGCACTTACCAGCATGTGGAGATCTTGATGTTGCGTGCTTGCGCTTCCTCGATGCAGGTCTTGAAGGATCTGGTCGCGTAGCGGTCTTCAGTCTTGGTCTTTGGTTGTAGACGTTGTCTCGCAGAAGATCAGCAGCACAAGTACCGGTACCGGTAGCCATAAAACGCTTCCTATAGGCCGTTAACATTTCGACCTGTATTCAAGGGAATAACAAAGGTTAGTAACATGGTCTTGCCCATAGGTGTAAAGGAACGGAAAGCAAGTGGCTCAAACTGCCGTTGCTGGGATTGGCCATCGACGCGAGCACAATGCTATCTATACGTTGTAAGACCCTAACCATATTCCTTCGAAAGAAGTTAGGATCTGGTCTTTTATCATCGCTAGCGTGTCTATGTCATAAGTATGCTCTAATGGCCAATTGGCATCATCGGTTTTGAAGTCTCACCTCCATAAACTTCCCATCCAATAACAGCTGCAGCCAGCTGCCCATATGAATCGTTGCGTAACTGCTCATTGGCCTACAGTTGGCAGTAAGTAGGGCGTGTTAGCTAATGCACTCTCCACTCATCAACGGTCGGCAGAGTTAAGACTTCAGAGGCACACGTTGCCGAAACCAGCTTACCAGCTGAGTGACTACACAAGTCAGTGCAAGCTGCCGTTAATGACGGCGAAGTTTATGGTCACATGTGGTGCGTTTAGCAAGGGCTAGTAAGTCCAAGCGTGGCCTATGTTGTTGTGCCAGCACCTAAGCCACAAAAAATTTAGATGGCTTACCTTAGAAGTTTCGGGCGTCCAATGCGAGGCAGCCAACTCCATACATACACCTAGTTTATCACGGCTGTGCCGATCTATTGAGCGAAATAACTCATGTTTGTCACCTACACTTTAGTAGACGCAATACAACATATCTGGTTAGCAGCTTTGGCAGAAGCGTGAAGCTCTGCAGTACGGTATGTACGGATGGGAAAAAGAAGTTGCGCATTTTAGGCAAGAGAACGCACATACTGCCACTAATTAAGCCAATTCTTAAATAAGACTAAGTAGCATGGACACACAGTGACTATTCCTTAAGGAGAGTTGCTAGCAGTTGTAAGCTTGTAACCGTTGGAAACGGTGATGCTTCGGGTTTTTTACTGTCTCCATAATGATTTGGGGGTTCTAGGTTATGTTGAAGACCATGATTACCTGTCATCATGCTGCAATGATGGAGCGCTCCTTAAGCAAGACCCTAACTGTCGCTCGCAAAGCTGCGAAAAGGTCTCTCGTCCATAGTAAATGCTGTCAAAGGAAGACAATTAAATCAACTAGATTGCGTAGACAGGGACACAATCAGTGTAGGACGACTCAACGACAATAAGGCGCTTGAGACTGGCCATCGTCATCATAACTCTCACTGAAAGCACCCGATAACACTGTAAAAACCGCGAATTCATCAACCATTATAACAGTCACTGCTTACCATGTATGAAAGGCCCCTTATGGAGGAGCCACTTCGCGAGGAACCGAGTTCCCTTCCGCGTGACCTGCTCGGGGCTCTCTCCATACTACCGCCGGACGTCTTGCAAACAAACATTTGGGGGCTCTTACCGCCCTCGTCGCGCACCGCCTTTCGGCAAACGTGCATTGAAGCAGATGCCCTGGCCCGGCGAAGCCTCATAACCTCTGCCACCGTCCTTTTCAACCATCATTATCTCGAAGCCTTGGGCTTTACTGGCCGCAGCTTGGTGCAGCACTTTCCAGGCCTCCGCGCGCTGACCCTGCGCCAAGCCACAGCGGGTCGCAAGCCGCTCCCCGCTGAGGTGGTACGCGCTTGCTTGGAGCTCCTAACCCGCTCCAGCGGAGGCGCAGGGGGCGCACGGGAAGAAGGAGGGGCCGCATCAGTAGCAGCTGGTGGTCTTGGAGCTGCTGCTGCTGGTACATGTGGAGCGGTTCATGTTCGGCAGCTGGCCCTGCAGGATTGGCCCTCCCTGGAGGTGGGGGAGCTGGTGCTGCTGGCGGCGGCTTTCCCGCGGCTGGAGGGCCTGGGGTTGGCGTGCAGGTGCGGAGGAGGGGGAAAGGAAGGATTCCCAACGCGTTGGGAAGGGGGAGGGAACAGGTAACGGGAACTGGAAAAAAGGTTGGGTGGTGGCTGGCAAGGGGGACGATCGTACCGGTAGTCGTAGCTGTAGCAGGGCTCTCTTCCGTCATTGAGATCCCTCGTGTCGCCCCCCCCTCCTTGTCACCCGCCCGCCCGCCCTTGCCGCCCCTCAGCCCACCCACCTCCTCACACAACGCCACCCCCCACCCCCTCCCTCGCCTCACGCAGGACGCGCGCCTTCCCCCACCACTACCCTGCCCCCGACGAGCTGCTGCCGCTCCTCGCCCGCCTGCTGCCGCGACTGAGCCGCCTGGAGCTCACGGGACTGGGGCTGCAGGCGGCCGCAGGGGGGGCGCAACACCAGCCGCAAGTCCTACAACCGCAGCGGCAACACCAGGCGGAGGGCGGGCCCATGGAGGAAGGAGGAAAGGAGCAAGGGGAAAGGCCCCCTGACAGCGCCGGCGGCAGCAGCGACATCGGCGGCAACCATCGCCATGGCGATGACGTCAGCAACGGCTGTAGCAGCAACGGCCTTGCCGTACTAGCTGAGCTGCTACCGGGCCTCCAGAGCCTGACGCTGCGCACGATTGACCTGCCGCCCTCGCTTTGCAGCCAGCTGGGCTGCCTGACACAGCTGCGGGAGCTCTCCCTGGAGTGCGGCTTTGTGATGACGCCGGCGGATGAGGTGCGGCCCGCGCTGCGAACCATGGGTCGGTCGCTTGCGGCGCTGCTGCCGCTGCTGGAGCGGTTGACGCTTCGGGTGACGAGCTGCGTGGAGGATTATGAAGGTGCTGATGATGAGGAGGAGGTGGGGGAGGAGGAGGGGGTGAGGAGGAGGGGTTGGGAGGCGGCGGGCGGGGGGGTGGAGGGAGGGCGGTTCGCATGGTGGGAAGTGGGGGAGGAGGAGCGTGACGGTGGAGACGGAGGCCTGGTTGCGGTGCTGCTGCGGGCTATGGTTGCGGAGTTGAAGGCGCGGGCGGTTGATGCGGGGGAGGGGCTGGGGTCAGGTGCGGGGCGGAGTGGGTGGGTGTACGGGCAAGGTAGCGGGAAGGGTGTCAGGGAGGTAAGGCTGCCTGGACACGTGCTGCAGCTGAGGAGTGGCTGCTGCTGCGGAGGCTGCCAGGACTGGCGAGACTGGAGGTGGGGAATTTGAGCGGCGGGTGCCGCAGGTTGGTTGAAGGTCCCACGGGAGCAGGTGGGGTTGAGGTTGTGGAGTTGGAGGAGGAGGAAGGGGTGCAAAGCCACGCGCTCTGACTTGGTGTGAGGAGACCAAAAACGTTGGGATTGGACTCGTAGCTGACGACCGTTCTGGACGTGTTCCAGAGCATGCTTGGGTACTGTAATCCCGAAACTGCCTTGTACACTGTACATCTACGATATGGAACGCGTTAAGGTGCCCGAAGCAGTTCGTGTCGTGTTCGCCGCAAACTAAGGCATGGTGGTTGACTGCCAGTACGTTAGTTTCGGTTGGTTGAACACGGGCCCTTAGCTCTTTATACTCCGCAAACAGCGTATATGTGTTGTGTTGTAATCCGCCTACAGATACAAACACTAAGCAAGTGCTGAACGCGAAAGCTTCTGCTCGTTGCACGTCATTGATTGGCGCCGGGCTGGCTCCATGGCCGCCGATGGTCGCCAGCAGCTTAACGTACTTCTAGCAGCAATAAGGAAGCAGACTGGGCGCTTACGGGCTAAGGATTCAACCCCGTACCTGCATGCTGCTGCATCGCTTGCACGCGATGGGGTAAGTAATCGCCAAAACCTTGCTTAATGGCAAATGCTAGTGTTATATATACAATTGAGACGGTGGCCTTGGGGCTGAAGTGACGGTCGAGCAATGCCATCGCCGCCAAAGCTCAAAGGCCGCCGTAGCTAGGAGAGGGCAAAAGCATTAGATGGGTTCATAAGAACCTCTATAGGATATTGCGGCCTGTCTTCGAGTAAGTCTCCATTACTTGTCCTAGCTATCGTGCCCGCTAGCCAGACTGCCTCGACCTCTTATCTTAGGCCTCTCCCTCTCATCCCTTTCTCCAGCATTTTACGTTGAAACCTCGCCCTGTCCCCTCCCCCCTCCTCACCTTTCCTCCCCCCACAGGTCTGCTACCGCTGCCTGCTGCGGCTAGCAGGCCACACCTCCTTCGATGACTACCTGCTCCCCGCTCCATCCTGCCAGCAGCTGCAAGCCGCGCTTGCGACCGGCAACAGCAACAGCAACCTCAGCAGTAGCAGTAGCAGCAACGGTAGCGCTGACGTCAGCAGTGCTGTTGCCGCCAGCACCTCCGAAGCCGGCTGCCCGACATGCTTCGGCCTGCTGCCACTGCTGCTGGAGCCGCAACCACCGCAGCCACCACCGGTGCTGCTGCTGCTGCCGCCGTCGCCCCCGTCGCCCCCGCAGCCCCAGCACGCACTCGGTGAGGATGGTGCAGGAGTGGGGGACAGAGGAGCTGCAACATCCCCCGCCCCCGCCCCTCTCCCTGCTGCTGCTTCAGCCCCTGCCCCCGCACCCGACCCCGCATGGCTCCGACTGCAACAGCAGAGGGCGCTCGCAGCGGCCGGCAGCGGGGGGGCGGCGGCGGGGCACGCGCGGGTGCCCGGCTGCTGGCCCGCCACCGCCGCCGTGGCGGAGGTTGTACGGCAGCAGATGCGGGAGGGGCCCCCGGAGGTGACAGCAGGGGCGGCGGCTGGAGCAGCAGCAGGAGCAGCAGCAGCAGGAGCAGCAGCAGCAGGAGCAGCCGGTAGTGTTACCACTGATGCAGCAGCCGCATGCAACACGGCGTCTGGTAGGGAGCAGGCGCCCGGGGCAAGCAGCAGCGGAGCGGAAGGAGGAGGAAGCGGCGACGTGGCTATGGCCGAGGCAAACCCCGCTCCTGCTGCTACTGCTGCTGCTGCTGCTGCTCCTGCTACTGCTGCCACCAGTAGTTTGGCGGCACTGCCAGACTCAGGACAAGCCCCCAAGCCGGCCGAGCAGCAACCAACGGGGCCACGAGAAGAAGCCTTGGTGGGAGCAGGAGGGCCAGGGGGGGCAGCAGGTGCAGCAGTTGCAAGCCCCTGCCTGGAAGGTCTGGAGTCGGGACCCCTGTTGCCCTTCCGCTCCTTTTCCCTGGAGGTGCCCGCCGCGCCCGCCGCCTGCGCCATCCGCGACGCTGTCGTACACCGGCATCTGACGTCGCTGTACGACAAGGCGGGGGTGCCGTACCAGGACTGGCGAGTGGGCGACATCGTGACGGTGCTCACCGTGCTGCGGTAGGAGGCGGGGGAGGAGGAGGGGGGGTGCTGTGGGGTGACTGGGGGGGGTGAAGTGAATGGGATTGAGGGATGCGTGTCTGGATTGCCATGGGTTAGCAGCGCTGTAATTCCCTTTTATGTTAATTCCGCTCGTAACATGTGCCCCCGCCAGTTGGTCTGCACCCTTCACCCCCCCCCCCACCCTCCACTTGTATCATTATCACACCACACTTTGGCATTTCTTTTTCCCTCCACCCTCCATCTCCCCACCTCCCACCCTCCATCCCCTCCACCTCCCACCCTCCATCTCCCCACCTCCACCCTCCACCCTCCATCTCCCCCCCCTCCACCCTCCATCTCCCCCCCTCCACCCTCCATCCCCCTCCCACCTCCCACGCAGTCGCTCGCTGCCCTCCGCGCTGTCCCGGCAGCTAGGTCAGCCCTGCGTGGGACCTCAGGCGGCAGACGCGGTGGTGTCGCTGGTGGCGCTGGACGGGGAGGGGGGCAGGGCGGATGTGCGGGTGGGTGAGGGGGGCGGGCGGGTGAGGCGGATGTGCTGGGTGGCCTCTGGCTCGCGGCGCAGGTCACCCGGCGTTTGGGTGTGTCACCGAGGTTAAGTCATGGACTGGTCATGCTTGACATGGAGCCCCAAACCCCAAAGCAAGAACGGCGGGAGCTTCTTGCGCTGCCGCTGCCTGCATCACCTCCCTTCCACTCCGCAACAAGGCATGACTGTATATGCCCCCCCCTTCCATGCACTCATGCACTCGTCACCACCCGGGGTGCTGTTGCCGTACCACCACCCGCTCCCCTCCGTGTTCCTTTCCCCCGCCCCCGCTCCTCCCTCTCCCAGACCCTGCTAGAGGACCAGGCGGCCTTCCACACGCGCAGGCAGCAGCAGTACACGCACCCGCACAGGGGGGGCGGAGGCAAGCGGCAGCGGGGGCCGGGGGGACAGCCGGTCGGGGCGGCCGGCGGCGGCGGGGGACAGCAGCAGCAGCAGCAGGTGGAGCAGGAGGGCGCACCAACCCGACCCAAGGTAGCGGTAGCGCGGGACATGGAGGGTTTGGGGTGGGTGGGTACGGGGAGCCGGTTGCGGGCCAGTTGCTGACCTTCTGGTTGATTCACCACTACTACCAGCGCCCCAAGCCGCATATCCGCACATCCGCACATCCGCACACCAGGGATATTTATTGTCCCCCGCCCACCCCATCACGCCCCACCACACCCCACCTCGCCCCAGGTCCCCGAGTCCCGCCTCCGTTCCATGACGGCGGAGCAGGCGGCCCACGCGGTGGCGGCACTGCCCCGACAAGTCGTACTGCGGCTCTTCCCCTGGCCGCCGCCCCCTTGCCCGCTGGCGCCGGCGGCGGCGGCGCAGACGCAACAACAGGCGCCGCAGGCTCCGGCTGCTGCTGCTGCTGCTGCCGCTTCCGAACACGCGTCCGAACCCACATCCGGATCTCCAGCGGCGGCGCAGGCGGCTGCTAGCGGTGCAGCAGCTGCAGCGCCGACTACGGCTGACAGCGCTGCTGCAGATGTGGCGAGTGCGAGTGGAGCCGCCTGGTGGCCCAGCGTGCACGTGCGGGCGGTACGACAGCCCATCCTGCTGGCGGGCAGGTGAGGGGCCACCCCCACCCCTTCTTTGCCCCTAACCTGTGGGGCTTCCTATGGTATGGTATGGTCTTTGACCCCCCTTCCCTGATTTCTCTTCCTTGAACCCGCTCTCCCCCTCTTCCCCCCTCTTCCCCTCACCATCTTCCCCTCACATGTTGCAAACCATGATGGCGCCTTACCACACGGTCAGTTTCCTCTTCTTCCCCCCCTCCCCATACCCCCCCGCAGGTACTGCAAGCTGCGGCGCCACATGCCGCAGAGCCCCTGGTTCGACATGTCCACCGGCGCGCGCATCGGCGGCAGTGTGAGTGTGCAAGAGGTGCTGCAGGAGTGGCTGCTGCCGCTGTACGGCTGCGCGGGAGCCAAGATGGTGACGGGGGGGCGGGAGGATGCGGATGTGCGCATGCTGGGGGCGGGGCGGCCCTTCGTGCTGGAGCTGCAGGTGAGGGGGGCGGGGGCGGGGGCGGGGAGGAGGGAGGAAATGCCGTGCCGTGAACCCGTGATGAGGGTGGTGGTAGTGGCAAAGCCAAACGACTGAGTGCAGTGCTGGTGCTCAGACCCCTCGCATGCTGCCGCCGCTGCTGCACCCGCTTCCTTGTCTGCTTGCTTGCTTGAAGTGGGTACACCTCGTGTGCCGCATCGTACTGTTGTTGTCACGGCCCTCTTCCTGACCCGCCTCGGATGCCGCCCCTCCGACCGCCTGCCGCCCTCCACCACCACCACCACCCGACTGCCTGCCCAACCTCCCCCCCTCCCTTGCCCCCCCCGCAGGCTCCCCTGCGCGGCCACCCGCCTTCCGACACCTTCCGGCGGCTGGAGCAGCGCATGCTGGAGAGCAAGTGGTGGGGGCGGGCTTGGGGGGGGGGCGGGGTGTGTAAGAGAGGTGTGAAGGTTAAGGGGGAGGGAAAAGAGGGAGAAGCGGCGGTTAGCAGGAGGTGTCAAGCCAGGGCTTCATTAACTCCGCCCGCGCCTCCCCGTCAACGGTGTGCCACACCCCTCCCTGACCCTCCTCCCGCGCCTTTACCACACTCCCACCCCTTGTCCGCTCTCTCCGCCTCCCACCCCACCCCAGCCCCCATCCTACCTCCAGTACCCCCACCCCCACCCCCGCACCTTCCCCGCCCCCTTCCCCCCGCCCCCGCCCACAGCGGTGTGAGCGCCCAGGGCCTCTCCCCCTGCGGCCGCTCCGCCCTGGACGCCATCAAGGCTGCGGAGGAGGTAAAAGAGAAGACCTACCGCGCGCTGTGCTGGGCGGCGCCCGCCCCCTCCCCGCAGCAGCTGGCCGGGCTGCTGGCGGCGGGGCGGGTGGAGGCGCAGCAGGACACCCCGGTGCGGGTGCTGCACCGGCGGGCGGCCAAGGTAGGGGCGGGGCGGGGAGGGGGTGAAGGGGGGAAATGTTTAGGTAAGTGCATCAACGGAGTGAAGGGGGGGGCTAAATGGGAGGGAGCAGTGGTTTTAAGAGGGTTTTGGTAGGCAGGGATGGGATGGGAGGGTGGAGGGATGGATGGGTGTGATGGCTGCTTGGGGTGAGGGGCGTCTGGGGGGACCGGGGGATCTGGGGCATACTTGGCTTTTGCTGAGCGGGAGCTTAGTTATGCAAGTTAGGTTTGCTGTTATGCACCACCCTTATGCACGAGTCGCGGCCCGCTACCGTGCCTAGTGTGATCGTGGTCCTTCCAGGCAGCTAGGTTACGCCTTGCTTCGGCTGCTGCTGCCGTTGCTGACAACGCTGCTGACCGGCCCGCAGGTGCGGCCCAAGTGGCTGCGAGTGGAGGCGGCGGAGGCGGTTGCCGGGAAGCCGGGCTACTTTGTAATCACGTTGAGGACGCAGGTGGGGGGATGCGGGGAGGGGGTAGTGGGTAGGTGGGTGAACACGCAGGTGTGTCGCCACCTCGTGAGGCCAGGGCAGTGCGGTTGCGCACGCGGATGGGCTGATGGGTGATGGTGTTAACTTCGCATTGCTTTTTCGCGGCATGCCTCCTCAAGGGACGTGATCTCGAGGACATCCGCAACGTGCATGGCAGCGGTGCCGCCGCCGCCGCCAGCCCCCAGTGCCTCCCTCCCTCTTCCTCACTCCTTGTCCCCTATCCTTTCTAACACTGGTGCCCTCCTCCTGCTGCTGCCTCCCTCCCTCCCTCTCCTGCTGCTGCCACCCTCCCTCCCTCTCCTGCTGCAGGCTGGCGCCTACGTGAAGGAGTTCTGCCACGGAGACTTCGGCCGCTGCCGGCCCAGCCTGGGGGACCTGTTGGCGCAGCTGGCTAGGGAGGAGCAGCAGCAGCAGCCGCAGGTGCAGCAGCAGCAGACTGCAGGGGGGGCGGCGGAGGCGGAGGCAGGAGCGAGCGGAGGCGGTGGCGGCGGTGGCACGGAGGGTTCGGGTGACCCGCCAGCAGCAGGAGGATCAGCAGGTGCAGGAGATGGCTCGGGGGTGGGGGTGTATGTTGAGATCGTGCAGCTGGATGTGCTGGACGTGCATTTGGAGGACTGGCCTTGAGGGGGAGGAGGGGAGGGAGGGGAGAGGAGGGAAGGAAGAGGTTCCCAGGCTTTGCGAGATGTGAGGGAGAGGGACGGTGGAGGCGGCTGCGGCAGGAAGGAGGTTTGGGAGGTGGAAAAGGTTTAGCAGTGGTGGTGGTGGCATGGTGACTTGACGGTGACATTACCGGTAGCCTGTTCGTCCAGTTTAGCTTCGTACGCCCAGCGGGCTGCCTGAGCTTCAAACAGAGCCAGGCAGGCATGTCTGAAGAGCTCTAGGCGCGAGCATGCACGTGTGTGTGGTGGCATCGCCTGCGATTCGTTTTCCATGAAGTCGTCGGTTGGGTATCTTGGCATGTAGTTCTGTTAGGTATGTCTTTGGTCAGATGAGTTCCGTCAAGCGGGCGTGTGGGCGTGGAAGCAAACCGTGCTGGGAGTGTTGCGGAGGGAGGTGTGAGGCTGTTGGTGCAGGATGGTGCAGTCGTGCAACGAGGCATGCCGCGAGACACTGACGGCGGGGGCCGTTGCGGTCACAATGGTGCGTTCATGCAGGGTATGTAGGATTTGACGACGCAGCCCTCATGCAGCCCGGCATCTAGTACGTACCGTTGTGCCCTACCTTCCCGGAAACCATTGTAACGGCCATTCATTCACTTCAGAACCTGCGAGGACGGCACCACACCCCTTCCCTCCACTCTCAATTACAACACGCACCACCTGCATTGCGCAGTCTAACACCTGCCGGCTTTCTGATGCACTCAAGGAACATCACACACCGGGCCAACCCAGAAAGACGTTTTCAAAGAGGCAGTAGCAGGTGCGCTTAGCACCCCCCTTTGTTGCACCAACCATGCCCGAGTCCAACAACCCTGGTCGCACGTCCGCTGCATTCTTGTAAGGATTGCAGCAAAGGTGTATCGCTATGTGTTCATCCACTGTGGCCCACCCGTGGGTCATCGTGGGCCGCCGTCTTGGCAGCAATCAAATGCACGTGCGGTAATGGGGCATCCGCAACTTGGGTTGTTAACGCCGCACTAGGAAACAAAGCAATGGGCGCATACAGACTCCCCCTCCAGCTGCAGTACTTATCTCTTAAGCCCTTGTATTGCGCATGCATGCCAACTAGTAACCCGCCCCCTTCGTTCCCCGCCTTGTCCAGATGAGGAACCGTACCAGTAACTAGGAGGAGTGTGACCATGCCCACTCTACCATGCCCGCTCTACCATGCCTGCCCTGCCAAACAACTGCGTGTGTGCGCCCTCTAGTGCAGATCGGTGTACGGCAGGTCACTCATGTTGCTTCTGCCGTACTTCTTCAGTTGCAGTTCACCGCCGCGTACAGGAACTGCGGGAAGTTCAGGTGTACGACCCCGCTGCCCGAGGGGTCGAAGGCCTTGAAGGAGGCGGCGGTGGAGCGAAGGAAGAGCGTCAGCACCAGGAATTCCTGTGTGTACGACATCCGAGGTGTATGTACAGCAGTATAAAATTTGTACGCCGGGGGGCAGAAAATGGCAGGATGCCGTAGACAAGGAGGGCAGGTGGTGGTGGCAGGTGTTGCGGCGGAGGCAGGGGCTAAGGAGCCGGGCATGCAGGGATTTGAGCCGCCAGGAATTCCTGTGTGTACGACATCCGAGGTGTATGTACAGCAGTATAAAATTTGTACGCCGGGGGGCAGAAAATGGCAGGATGCCGTAGACAAGGAGGGCAGGTGGTGGTGGCAGGTGTTGCGGCGGAGGCAGGGGCTAAGGAGCCGGGCATGCAGGGATTTGAGCCGCTGCTGGTCTAAGGAGTAGCGTGGAGCAACAAGGGCGGGAGCGCCAAGGGGCTCCTCCGCCCCGCCTGTTTCTTCCTTGAGCCGACTGCCCAGTCGCCCTACTCCCCTGCCTGTCTGCCTGCCTCCATACCGGTGCTTCCCCTGCCCCGCCGCACCCCCCACCTGCAGCCCCAGGCTCCCAGCCCGCAGCGGGTCGAAGCGAGCGAACAGGGCCCGTTGAACCGACGGCTCGAACTCGTAGCCTGCGGTGGGGTAGGTAGAGGGGTGTGAGGGAGGGAGGAGCAAAGGGGTGCGGGGGGGGGGTTGCTTGTGCCTGTATGAGAGCTTGGATGGGTGGGTTTCACGATGGCTTAGCTGGCGGGCGGAGGACAGGGTAAGCAGGACGGCATTGTCATTAAATGTCCGGATTTCACGCCAGCCGGCCGGCTGCCCCGCATTTCCCTCAACAGCACCGAGACGCATGTCATACAAAACGCATGGTGGCAGAGCACGAAGGCGGGACAGGGAGGCAGGGCAGGGAAACACACACACACGCATACACGCATGCACGCGTGCAAGTATGCCGTACCGAATGATGCCAGGCCCCGCGCCACCTCCTCCAGGGGCACCCGGCCACTGCGCTGGTCGGCCCGCAGCTGGCCGAACGTGTCTTGCACGCTGGGGAGAGCGGCAGCGGAGGGAGGGCAAGGTGGGGGTAGCAGGAGAGTAGGGGAGTAAGGTGATTCGCAAGTGAGCATGCATGCATGAAGCAGCCCCGCCCCATCACGCCCGGGACGAATTGCACCGCCTTTCCGTACAGCGCCACGATGAAACCCTGCCCTGCCGTATATACACTCACGTTGCCAGGAAGACGTGCAGTCGTTCAAACTCGCTGAAGGTAATGGTTCCAGATCCCGTGCTGTCGCATTGCCTGCGTTGCGACAGAAACAGATAACAGAGCAACACTTGGTTCATCGGGAAGACTTGAACGCTATACCGGTGCCATGTGGGTACTAGGACTTGATGAAACTGCGGGCCACAACGGCCCAACGATCCGCCCGCACCCTGGGCCTCAGAAGGAGAGCAAAACCGGCCGAGGTAGGGTTTAAGGGCAATGCTGAGCTGTATTAGCGACCAATTTACAGGGCGCAAATAAGGTGATAATTCACCGCAAGTAAGGTGAACCCATACCTGATAATGGCTGCAACAGTTCCCAAGCTGAAGTTAAGTCCACCTTCCGACAGCGCGGCTTGCAATTCCGTGGCCGTTATGTGCCCGCTGTTGTCCTTGTCCACCTTTGAAAACCACTGCGTGAAGCAAGTCTCGGGTTTATGGATGTTAGGCAACAATCGCGAGCCTGAAAGGAACGCCTGACGTGGAGGTATACCAACGCCCAAGCAGCAAAGACTCACGCGGCGGAGGCTTTCGTTATCTGGAGGTTGCCCTTGTGATTGCAGCTGCTGTGGCTGCTGCGATTGGGCAGGCCTGTGGCTTCCTGCAGGCCACATCGCTTTTATGTTGAGCGGAGAAGTAGAGTCAATATGTGAAAGCGGGCAGGCCAGCGGGCGCTCTGAGTTGCTGCTCTTCAAGGTGATACTGCTGGACGTGGTGCTTAGTTGAGAAAGTGCGCTTGCTGTGATCAAGCCCTCCAACGACGGTTGCGATCATGGCGCAATGCTTCGTACAGCACTCGTTCATTGGAGCCACATCCAGCTGCGCTCCGCTAGCCAACTTCTTACGAGGAAAGGTCAACAGGGCTTCGCCGTCTTTTGCGGTTCGCACATAGCGCATGCATTTTACATAAGTGGCCCCCGGGTCAGGATCCCTTTTCAGCCGCAAGCAGATTGCTCAGCAATACACCCCAAGCAGGAAAACGCACCTCACCCTGTCTGCCTAACTTGTTTCGAACGGGTAATAATCCTTGCTCTCAATCATCGAACGTACGACGGTTGTTCCCTTTTTTTACAGGCAGCTCTCTGGGTTGTCATCGCAAAATTGTCGCAATCCTTTAACCAATCGTAGCTAAAATAAATAGTAATGGGTTTCCTACACAAGTTGCTTAAGAAGCTGGGACTGGTGAAGGTGCGAAAACTCCTCAAAGTGAGCCACCGCAGTTCGTTTGCTTATTGCATAACTTATATGTATACTTCGTCTTTGGCAGACCAAGGTTGGTTTGCTAATATTGGGTCTCAGCAACAGCGGGAAATCAACGGTAGTGGCACGATTAACAAAGGAACCGGTAGAGGATGTGGCGCCTACAGTTGGCTTCGCAGTGGAGTCGGTAAAGATAGAGGGACTTGCGGTGACGATGTTTGACATGTCAGGTGCGTGGCGCATGGCATCTAGAGCGGCCAACCCCGCGATATGTTTTAAAGGCTTGTGGTAATATGCCATCATGCATCACACATGGCAGGAAACCAACGCTACCACGAGCTCTGGCAGCATTATTACAAAGACACTACGGTAGGATGGGAGGTTGGACGCGAAAGTTATGGAATGCAGGGCATCTGTACAGACCGTTGCTGGCACGATCAAGACCTCTGTTACAAATTAAAGCATGTAACGACCATCGCTGTCCGCATGGTCGCTAAGAAAGGAATTCTTGGGGTGTGAGCGTGTGACTGTTGGCATACCCGCCGGCAACTTTTGACAAGCCGCAAGGTCAGTTTGACCGCCTTACACCAACACGCTTTCCATGCATAGCAATTAACCACAATGACTCTTCACGTGATCCGAAGAGAGCCGCCCCTAGCGCCCACCCAACCAGTTTACCCTCCATCCCTCCCTCATACATATCGCTTTCCTCCGTTCGGCTCTCCTCCACACACCATCCCTCCACCTCAGTGCACTTCCTCTGTCGTACACCAATTTGTCTCCTGCCTGTGTCCGTCCCTCACTCCTCACCTCCAGGCCATAATGTTCGTTCTTGATTCCGCGGACCGGGCTCGCTTTGCGGAAGCTGATGCCGTTCTTCAAGAGGTGCTTCACGCGGAAACACTCAAGGTGCGTTACCACTCACCGTACCAGCCTTCCCACCTCTCTCCTCTCCTCCTCTCTTACCAGCCTTCTTTTCCTCGTCAGTTTCCTCCTTTTTCTCTCAGCACCCATCCATCCACCCCCATTTCCTTTTACCAATCCATCCTCCAACCCCCACGTTCGGTCCCTTCTTCCCTCAGCGCGTCCCCATGCTCTTCCTGTGCAACAAGATGGATCTGGCGCTGGCCGCCTCGCCGGACGAGGTGGCGCAGGCGCTGCACCTGCCCGCCGCCTCCGCCGCCAGGGCTTTCCAGCTGCAGCCCTGCAGCGCGCTGGAGGGCAAGGGCATAAAGGTGAGACGCCGGGTCTGAGGGCGATGCGAGGACCTGATGATGAGCGGAAGGAAACGTGGGATGCAGACGGGGTTACCGGTACGGCCGGGTGCGGGTTGGGTACCGGGTAATGTGGTTGGATTAACGTGTGCAGGGGTGTGGAAAGGAGAGGGATGTCTTTTGGCCTGCAATGCGGTACAGAACGCTGGTATGTGGATAGGGGTCAGCCCCGGGCATGGCTTGGAGCACCTGCTGGTGCTTTGTCACGCCTTCATCGCCCACCAAGAGCTGGACATACCTCACTTTTCATGCTTTGGGGCCCGCGGCTACGGTGCAGCTGTTTTTTCTGTACGGCGCTGAGCCTCTGTCTGACTCCTCTGAAACCCGCTCGGTGGCCCGCAGGAGGGCACGCAGTGGCTGCTGGATCACGTCTAGCGCCTCAGGCCTTCGCCCGCTCGGGCCTCTTCTGAACCGTCGTCCACATTCTTCACTTCCATCCGTCGCCAGCTGGCCACACTGAGGGCTGAGAGACCCACGGGTCGCTGCCGGTTACTCTTCCTGAAGGTTCAGGCACCCTTACGTGTGGAGGCAGTACTTGCCCCTCAAGGCTGAGGTACCTACCTTTTTTGGACAGCGCTCCTGCACGAGCCCTGTGTCCCATGGGTCGGCCGTCCGGAATACCCAGCTCCATGGCCTGCCAGCGATGGTGCCCAAGCCTGGCTTCCCAGCCACCGCGCTACCAACCACCCGCAAGTACGGTATGCTGCATCCGTCAACCATCCAGGTCAAGGCTGCAACGCATTGTTACGTGCAAGGTCGCTGCCCCAGACCTCCATGCAAGTCGTGCCGTGCCTGCACTGGTGGCTGCAGGGATGGCAGCAACGCAGCAGTGCCGGACCTGGGCCCTTGCTTCAGCAGCCTATCAGCCACGATGGCTGGGGTTGCAGCTCACAGGCCGACCTGCCGCCTCATGGGGCGCACAGGCGTCCACTCGCTGGCATACAGCGTCCCACGCTCCGGCAGCTGCGATAGCAGCCCCGTGCCTTGACGGCATGCGAGTAACGAGGGCCAACCTGACAAATTGCATGATGCTTTATGTCGTTAGGCCTGCGTTAGGCTTAAATTCTCAGAACTTCTGACGGAGTTTGGCTCCATTACAAACTACCAAAAAGGGACATGCTGCCTTCAAGCGCACGGGAGATCTTACGGTCTTACCTAACTACGGACATGACGCAGTTTGGAGACGAGGAGTGTGTTTTGAAGCTTAGCGGGAGCCCAGCTTCCATGTTGTGTACCCTATTCGGCTGCTGTGAATGTTTCCTGGTACGGTGATCACGCTTCCTTGTGTGAATTTTGATTTGGCTGGTTTTCTTTTTTGAAGTGTTCCACTTGTCAAAATGGCCGGGAAGTCGCATGCAGCTAGCAACATCCTCTCCGTGGCGAGCAAATAGCAAATCGGTAAACTAGCACTTGCACAGGTTCAACATCGCAGTCAGCCCAGTCAAAGACGTTGAGGGTCAATAACAGCCCGGCCGCTATATACGCGGACACGAGCACAGGCCATCGGTCGCTTCAAACCTCCCTAGCCTCCACTTCTCTTGGGGCCCACAAGAGCGAACTGAGAAGGAAAGAGACGACGCGCGATGCACTCGATTGCTGCATGAACACGATAGTTAGCCCCCCTAGAGCTACACATCCTCTTGCAACACCGCTACTGGCATCTGCTAATACCATGCATCGGTACTGGCAAGTTGCGTCTTCCCTCGGCCCAGGCTCCTCTTCTTGCCAGCCGCCATGGCACGCGCGCTGCCTCCCCAATTAAACGGCCCACCTAGGCCTCAGCACACAGCTCTACCCCAGTGAGGCAGTCAGCCTGCGTTCATGCCCCAATAACATCATGCAGGACGGTCGAGGAGGCCATGCTATGTATGGCACTCCTGGGCGACCCACAAAGAATGCTCTTCTCCCCACAGTACCTTCCCACCTCCTAGGAACTATTGTAATGACTAGGAGCGCCGCTCTTTAGGCACTGCTGCCCTAATGCCCCAGCCATGCGGAGAAGAGAAAGCCCTGATCTAGCAGACCCGACCCATGGGTCACCCCAAGTCAAAAGGTTTAGGCAAATGCGCGATTTGACCGTCATCATCCTCACAAGGGTGACTCTTGGACGTGCACGCGGCGTGTGTGTGTGCAGACAGTGTGCGAGGTAAGCACGGCAACCATCCTGCTTGCCGGCTGGCTATGTGCAACAACATGTTTCTTATGTGCAAACCTCGCTCCGACCCCGCAGCAGCTTACTAGTTGTTCCTTCACCACAGCGCAGCAGCACCACCGCCGGACCCTCAGCAACAAACTAAACCAAGGCGCGCAGCACCCCATGTGCCTCGCGCGCACCTCCCTGCTCATCTGCTCCTCCGCGCGCGCCTGCCTGCAACCCATCCAGCTCCTCCTCCGCCCAGCCGTGCATTGGCATCCTGCGTTACCGGTCAGCAGACGAGCAGCGCTGCTGGCGCCCCACCGTTACCTCGTGGGCATCTGTGCAGGGGGAGGGGGACAAGCGCGGGAGATGGAGGGGAGGCAAGGGTAAGGACAACGTTGCAGCGAGCGTTGCTGGGTACTACAGAGCATACTCCTACTACGTCGGCTACACATGCGCCCCGCCCATGCACACGGAGCCACGCAGGCATGTGCAACAGCGCACATGCGGGGACGTCTGCCGTGCCCGCCGTACCTGGTTGTACGCCTTCACGTCCTTCTGCTTCTTAGCCTTCGCCTGTCGGAGCTTCGCCTCCGCCATCGCGGCCGCCGACATGGGCGTCTTCTTCTTGGCGTCACCGGCCTTCTTCTTGGCAGCCAGCTTCGCCTTGATCTGCATTGCACAACCCCCGCGGCAATTGAGGTACAACATTGTTTCGTGTGACTACTCGATCCCACCGCGTTTGCATCAGATGGCGCGGTGCTCTGAATCGGCTGAAGAGGACAGCGCGTGCAGGGGAGCAGGTGGTACGGATAGTATACAGTACAAGGCAGGCTGTGCGATGGTGTTGGAAGCACCGGGAAGGGAGGACTAGGGCTGGCCACGAAGCTGCTTCAGCATCCAAATGAACGCATGCAAGCCCTGGGCTTTCGTGTCCGCGTGCTCAACGACCTCCAACCGGTACAATAAAATTGGTGCCAGCTATGCCTAACCCTAGGCCTATGGACTATGTCAACGCAGACTGTGTCGGATTACGGTAATGGACTGGCAAAGAGCGCCCCTGCCAGGGAAATGGACCCACCGCCGCAGGGTCGACGGGTCCGCCCGACTCCTCTGGCTCCTCGCTCGGCTCCTCGCTTGGCTCCTCCGTGGCCTCCTTGGCAGGCTGCTGCTGCTGCTGGGTGCCCTCCGCGGCTTCCCCGCCCTTCTTCTTGTCCTTCCGCTTGCGTTTGCTCTCCCCGTTCGCGCCACCCTCCTGGTTCTCCTTGCCCACGTTAATGCCTAGCTCCGCGAAGACCGCGTCTAGGTCCTGCAGCTCCTTTTTCTTCAGCTCCTGTGGGTAGGGTTAGGCGCAAAGAAGGCATTACTAAAGTCCAGAAGGCAACAGCCGGTAAATGAATGTCACATCCAAACGTCGCGTCGCGCCCGCTGTTGCCAAACGCAACCCAATATGACAAGCGCTATCGTTTCGTACCTTCTTTGAGAGCTGCTTCTCCGTCTCTTGGGACGGCTTAGGTGCCGGAGCGGCCGCTGGGCGTGCTGGGGCCGGCGCAGGCTCTGAAGCCTCCTCCTCTGCATCTGCAACGACTCTTCAAACGTTAGTGCTCTTCAAGGTAAAGGAGCAATATAATGTTAACGTACCTTCGTGCTCGCCATCGTCTCCAGTCCCAAGCTCGACCCCAAGTTCGGCCTCCAGGTCTATTTCCTCATCCTGTGACAGGATACCGTAGATCTAAGCGCTGCATCTTCATTATAGTAATATTAATAAGCAACTTTACCTCCTCAGCCTCCCCCTCATCCTGGCTGTCCTCCTCTTGTGTGCCGTTGGCGGTGACGGGGGCCTGTGCGCTACCCCGGGGTGCCTATACCGAAGTGGCGCGATGTGAAACATTGACACTTAAAAATTGCAAAGTCATATATGACTTACTTGTGTCCAGCCGGCGTCTACAGGAACGGTGAAGTCGTCGTCTTCATCGTCAGCCCAGCTGGCGAGCCCCACAGGCTGAGAGAATAGCTGCTTCTCAAGCTCCGCAGTGTCCACAACTTTCTTGGCCTCGCTGGACTTCTTCTTCTTATCACCGCTGTCCTTGGACTTGCTCTTGCCGCTGGACTTCTTGACTTTCTTGCTGGTGTCAAGGGCACTGAAGATATTCTTCGTTGCTAGACTCATACCGGCTAGATCAGATTAAAGGGTGTGCAATAAATGTGTGTGTGTCCTCAGGAAACAGAGTGGCGAAGGAAGGCACGTCGTCGTGGCGGCGCAGTCTGCTACAAAATAAGCCGTTATATTTCACGTTTACGTCAAGGTTATTTGGTGCTTCAGATAGCAGAAAAGGGCTGATACGTGAGGAAAAGGTGCAGTTGATAGGATGCAGATGGTGGACGTCCGTACTTGTCCGGCACTTGAAGGGACTGGCACGGAAGTTTCTTTAAAGGTACAGCCATTGTATGCCTTGTTCTTAGCGTCGCTTGATCTCTTAAAAGTGAAATGCTTTTCATATGCGTCATAAGTGGTAATGCACTGAAATACTCGCATACCGTGACACCGTAAGCGAACTATTGCAAAACAATACAGTAAATGACATAATGAACCGTAGGTGAAGCAGATCTTCCTGACTTGACGTGTCAGGTGTCGCCTCCTGGTTTCAGCTTGACTGCTGCAATTCTGCTCGACACAGGAACAACTGGCCATCGGGGAGGGATTAATTGTTGGGGTTGACAAGGGTGGGTGTCTGGGCCTTCGGAAGCAGCACCTCAAACATAGTCATGGGCTCGAGGACAGCCATGTCTCAAACCTCACAAAGTCGCCTTATCCTAGAGTATTCTCAGCACTGTCCACACTCCTTCTCCCTCTTTGCCATTGGATGCTGCCTTGCTGCAAGCCGCGTTACCTTCCTCGCTGTCACGAATGGACTCAACCGCCACCCCGGCCCTGCCAGGGCCATTGCCCACTCCATAACCGGGCGTTATGCGACCTTCCCTACATTATGCACGAACCCCAAACCGTAGATTTAAACAGCCCCGATCTCGGTAACGTTATTTACTAGGCAGCAGCGGCAAGCACACCGTGTTAAAGCCGCCCTACAAACACTCCACCTCTAACATCTGATGCAGCTTCCTCTCAATCACTTGCGCATAGGGCCCTGCTTGGGCGGGAAGAGCTTGTGTCGGATGGCGAAGAGATCTCGTTGATCTATGCCGTACACCACTGCCACACCCAGCAGCGGGCCCACCAGTACGGCGGGGAACAGGCCTGTGGGCAGGCAGGGGAGAGTACGACGCACACGCAGGGGTGGGTACAACACAGGAGGTTGGGTACAACACACAGGTACGACAACGACACACCGCGATGTCAGCGCGAGGGTGTGCGATGAGAGCGCAACCCTGAAACGCATGTGCAAGGGGCTGCGAGGCGATGAAGGGCGGTGCGCGAAAGGTACTGGCAGCACATGTGGCCCATTGAAGGCAGCTCGGCGCAGTTGTACGGACGGCCAGTTTATACAACACAGCGGGTACCGGACCTCACGACAGCAGGGGTGCCCCGTCGACCATGCCCCCAAATAAACCCGACGCAAGAGGGTACCGGTAGCAGGGATACCACGCCCCTCAGCCTACCAGCTCCCCTTCGTTGTCTACTCCTCACCCCACACCACGTTCCTCCTTCACTCCGCCCACTCAACGCTATAATCGGAATACATACCGGTGGTATTCCTCATATACCCCCGCACCCACCCAGTATCGGCGCCGCCAGCCAGCCCACTAGCGGCAGGCGCCGTACGACCCCCTTGGCCGCCGCCACCCCCACGATACCGCCCAGCATGGCCACACCGTACCTGCACAGCACAGGGAAGCACGCCACAGGGAGGCACGCCACAGCACAGGCGAGCAGGCCTCAACTGCCACATGCGCCTGTCACCGCCCCACCCTTCCCCAATGCGGTTACACTCTACCCGCGTTGACACCTTCCTACCCCCACTCCCACCTCCACCCTATACCTCCCACCCCCCCAAACGCACTTACTGCATGAGTCGGGATATGGGAGTGGGACTCTAGTTGTTTGCACTTATTATTTATCCCTCCCCCGAAAACGCACATACATGCCTACCCCTGCCGGACAACCTTGTTAGCACATGCCTCTCAAACGTAAACATAAACACACACACGGTATGTTCCGACCTCCGGCGGCCAGTTCTCTCAGCACGCACCACCCCCACCCACTTGCGTCCGAAGCCCGTGCAGGCCCTCGCGGCCGCGTAGGTGAGCACCCGCGCGTAGAAATCCTGAGGAGGCCGACAACGGTGGTGGTGGCGGGTTGGTGATGACGGTGACGTGTGTCGTACAGCATGCCGTACATACCGCCGCCCGCGTCGCATCGTACAGATGGCCGTACAGTCATAGCCGCAGGTAGAGCGGTCACCCACCCTCCTCCCCCCACCTGCCCTAACTTGTCGTTTCCTTTGGGCTGGTCCCCTCCTTACCCCCCCCCCACACACATCCCACCTGGAACTCGGCGGGACTCAGCCGGGAGTTGGCGTCGCCGTCACTCTCCTGCACGGGGGGAAGGGGAGCACCCGTGGGGGCAAAAATATATGTAAGTGAAACAGCGAGTCCCAATCCCATATCCCGATTCATGCAGTGGGGCCAGGCGGCAAGAGGGGCAACTCACGAACAAAGAACACTATTGCAAAATTTGCAGTACACTGCCCGGATAGGGCAGGTACGAAGGCATCCGGGGGAAGAAGGGAGGTGGGCCCAATCACTTGGGGAGGCTGGCAGGGCCTGCAAAGTACCCTCCCATGCATCTCCTTATCCATCTTAGCCGGCTTCCCCCTGATTCTCCCAACCCCTTAATACCACCCCAACATCAAGTCTCAACCATCCGACCTTACCCTGAACAGCTGGAGCACCTCATCCGGTGTTAGGGGCTCCAACACAATCCCTGAAGGGCAGGAGTTTGGGGTCAGTTTTTGCTTACAGAGCAAGAAGATGTCGCGCCGTGCCTTTACAGATGGAGCCACTCGCGAGTCACGCATGCACGTACAACACCAGGTGTTCGGTTGCTGTAACCGTTTGTACAGCCTGACGTACCGTATTCCGTACAGGCGGTTTGGAGCTCCCTGAAGAAAGCCTGCACGCCCGAGGCCGCCTGCTGGGGGGTGACGTAGCCGGCGGAGGAGGTGTCCAGAGCATCGAATGCTGAGTCGCACACGCGCCTGAAGTGGTCGCTGTTGAGGACGAAGGTCCTGTGTGCGGGAGGGAGGAAGGGGTTTAGGAGGGAAGGAGGATACCCGGAATACCAGTGCGAGTGTAACCGTCCCTATAAAAGTTCAGGAAAAGCGACGTGCTGACATAAATGTGTATTAGCGGCGCATGTATCGGAAGGTTGGCAAGGCTTTCTGCTGCAACACCCAATGTGCCGCGAGCGCGCTTTGCTATTGATATGCAGTGTACCTGACTTTCTCGTGCACGGCTTGTATTAGCTGTGGCATTTCCATTGGCAATCTTAGCTGCAAGCGTTGGGTCAAGTCCTAAATTGCCGAAGGAACGGTCCAAGCACACGCTTTACTGCTTTCTCCTCTTGATTCTTTTATAACTCATAGCGCAGTATGTGCTTTTGCTGCGTGCACAGAATCTCCCGTCCCTCGGTACTGTAGGGTTTGCGGGACCCAAGTTCAAAGCGACAAAAGCTTTCACACACGTTAGCAAGCAATGAAAGAAAATTATTTCAATAACAGTAAGGTGCTGACATGGACGCAATGGCAAGAGCCGTACTTGCGCTGCTGGCCCACGGTTCCCAAATCCTTTGATAGATTCCTAGCGCAGGTCTTTTGATACCTCGGAGTCTGCTCCTTGCAGGGAATTTGACATAGTGCTTATTGCTCTTAACTAGTCCCTGAAGCCAAGAGACACAGAAGAAGGGCTGCGCGAAGATGGCCTCGTGGCCGCCTCCAGATCCTGGCACTGCGCGAAGCCGCTATGTCTCCCTAGATGTGGAGCTCCAACGCCAGCAGCAGCAGCAACAACAACAGCAACTGGTGCAACCCCAAGCACAGCAACCTGGAGGGGATCAGCCGACCCAGCCGCAGCAGCCGCCTAGTAGCGACGCACCTACAGCGGGACCAGCAACACCCGCAGCGCCCACAGCAGCAGCAGCAGGAACAGGAGCACACCGCCAAGAGCAGCAGCCCCTGCTACAGGCAGCATCACCCACTCCCACCCAACACCCCCCGCAGCAGCAACGCCTCTTCAGTTCTTCCTCACCCGTGTGGCTGGAGGAGGCGGCGCAGGTGCAGCAAGCGGCGCCCGCAGCAGCAGCAGCACTGGGGGTAACGGCACCCGTAGCAGCAGCAATGGCCTCTGAGCCCGCCAGCTCTGCCGCCTACCCTCCCTGGCAGGCTGCTGCTCCTGCTGGCCCCGAGTCGCCTCCGGAGGCTCAGCTGCAGCTGCAGCAGCTGCGAAGTGCCGCATCAGCTGGGCGGGGTGGTGGTGGTGGAGGTGGCGGGGTGGAGGAGCCCTGGTGGGTTGGGTGTGGGTGAGGTGGATGTGGATGTGAGTTGGGGTGTGTGGATGTGAGTTGGGGTATGTGGGGTGGATGGGTGGAACGGCAAGGTGATGAGAGGAAAGGGGAACTACGGTACACGCGGGAGGGAGAGAAAGAGAGGATTAGGAAAAGGGCGTTGTGCATGCCCTGTAGTGGGTGCCATGGGAAGATGGCGCAGGCAGCAGGTGGGCGATACATACATCCCCGCTGTACGTCCAGGCCAGCCATGTGGAGACAACGGGGCACGCGATGCGAATATGTGCGGCAATCTTTTCCCAACCCCAGGGCTCCTTTTGTGCTCCCCAACCTCCCTTCCTCCCCTCTCCCCTCGCTCCCACTCAGGTCGCCCGTCACTCAGCCGGGGCTGCAGCCGACCCCTCCCGTCCCCGCAAGCAGCGGTCCCGGGCCGGTGGGGCGCGGCGAGACCGCGTCCGGACCTGGATCCCGAATCGGTGCCGGAGAGACCCATGGGTCACCACCCAGCCCACCGACTGGGGGCGGCGGGGGCAGCAGCGGCAGCGGCAGCCGTAGTCGCGCCCCTGGAAGCGGGGCGCTGTTTTGGACGTTGCTTATGACAGGTGGGTGTGGGCTGCGGGGAGTGAGTCCAGGGGCGTCGGGGACAAAGCATTGAAAGCTGGAAGCATTGCATCTAGGAGGACGGGAGACCTCCCAGCCCGCAACCCTGCAACCCCTGCCAGTATACCGCGTGGAAGCTCCCCGAGGCCATGCCGGGCTACACGCGCACATACCGGCAGTACGTTTTCGGTGCCTTGAAGGGTTTAGGGCGGCATCCCTAACTGACCTAACCGCCAACCGCCAACCGCCAACCGCCACACCCCATTGAGCGGACCGCAGTTGTAACCGGCGCTGCCGTGCTGCTGACCCTCCTGGCGGTGGGGCGCTGGCGCAACAGATTAAGTGACCCAAGTGACCCACGGGACGGTCGCCTACAGTCCGCCGCAAATGGCGGCGTTGGAAGCCTGGACGTAACCCTGACGGCTCGTGAGCTGAAGCTGCTGCGACCCGGCTTCCACATTATGGCTAAGAAGGGCTGGTGGGTGCGTGTTGTTTGAATGAACCCCGCACATTGATGTACGGTACCGCTGTGTTCACCGGTACATATGTTTGGGCTTGAGCTTGGAAAGGTGTAGGGCGACGCTGTTTAGGACGACGCGGATGTAAAGCTTGCCAGAACCTTCGTATTGTCTGTTAGTCTCGCCAACATCCGTCCCATGGAAGTTACCAACGCCATTCATCATCTTTCGGTCCCCTTTCCATCCTAAAACCCAGCCTAATGCGGAGTTTGTATCCCTGTTCATCCCCTTTCCATGACGTGCCGACACACGCATGCAGGATCAACGACCCCAACGGTCTCATGCAGTACCGAGGAATGGTCCACGTGTTCTTCCAGTACAATCCGCGGGGGCCCGTGTGGGGCCCCATGCACTGGGGCCACGTGGCCTCCCCCGACCTGGTGCACTGGGTGCGACTGCCCGTCGCGCTGAAGCCGGGTGACCCGTGGGACCGTGACGGCTGCTGGAGCGGCAGCGCGGTGATGCGGGATGATGGCGTGCCAGTGCTGCTGTACACAGGTGTGTTATGAAAACTGTGTGTGTTTATGGAACTGACCGCGAGTCCGAACGTGCTGAATTGTCGGAAGATGATGTCCCCGCCAAAACGTCAGGGGAGCCTAGGAGTGCGTTGACGGATGTGTGTGTGTGTGTGTGTGTGTCACAGCAACTGAATGCCGGCTGCAGTCCGGAATGTTCTCAGATGGGTAGCCAGTAGAAGCCGCCGTGCGCTCCCCGCCTCTCTCCTTCGGCACCCTTCTAGTCCTCCCATACACATAACCCCCCGTTCCCCTTCTTTCCCCAGCTCCCCGCTCCTGGACCCCCCAGCGACCACCAAACCCTTGCCGCCCCCTCATCCGTCCCCATGGTGAAGCCTCGTCATACTGCCTCACACAGCTCGTCAGTTTCCTCTTTTCTCCCCTCTTTACCCCCGCAGGCGCCACCAACCTCAGCCAGTCCCCCTCCGGCAACCAGACCAACCCCACCTTCTACTTCTACCAGACCCAAGCCATCGCCCTGCCCGCAGACCCCCACGACCCCTTCCTCGCCTCCTGGCTCAAACCCCCGGAGCTCAACCCCCTCAGCATGCTGCTCCCCCCGGGCGGGGTGAGATCTCAGTTCCGAGATCCTGTACGGCCCTGGCAAGTGCCGTACAGTGCCGTGGGGCCGGATCTGGCTGCATGGCTGGGCTGGCCGCTGTCGCTGGGAGCAGCCGGGCAGCAGCAGCAGCAGCAGGACGTGTGGGAGGCGGCCATGCAACGGGCGGCGGAGGGGCTACGGGAGGAGGAACGTGCTGCGGCAGGGGGCGGAGGTGGTGCTGTTGGTGGGGTGGTAGGGGTCGGTAGTGGCGGCAGCAATAGCAGTGACAGCGGCAACAGCAGTGACAGCGGCAACAGCGGTGTGTGGCTGACCGCGGTGGGTGCGATGGACGACTGTGTGGGTGCGGCGGCGCTGTACCTCAGTCCGGACATGCGCTCCTGGACGTACGCAGGTCGGGGGGGGCCGGAAGCGAGGGGGAAGCAAGGGGGGAACAGTGGTAAGAGAACTAGCGGGGCGTGTGTTAAAATAACTGGCCGCGAGGCGAAACGTACTGTGATTGCCGAAAGATGAAGTCCTCCCACCGAAAACGCCACAGGTGAAGTGAAGTCCGTTGGCTATGTTGTAATAGAGCTATCGAGTAGTATCGGAATCAGTGTAAAGCAGTAATAGCAATGTCGTGTGTGTGGTAAGTGGTAAGGATGAACTGATCCGTTCAGGTGTGCAGGTGTAGCGGGTTGGGAAGCGCAGTGCGTGCCACGAGGCCAATCGAACCAACGAATGACGTGCGGGTATAGACGTGTATGTCCCCGCGCCCACCCCCCACCTCCCATGGCTCCTCAACGTCCCTCATTCCCGACATTTCGCAATCTGTGTGCACCCCCCCTCCAGGCACCCTCTTCTCCCAGCTAGGTCAGAACCTCACCCTGTACGACGCCTGCCTGGCCTCCGACGCCTCAGGACTGCCCCCCGGCATGCGCGGCTACGGCGGCCCCTGCGACCAGATCGGCCCGCGCTGCCGCATGTGGGAGTGCCCGGGCTTCCTGGCGCTGGGGCCGCAGCAGGGGGAGGCGGGGCGGACGGAGGCGGAGGCGGCGGAGGGGGCGACGTGGGCGGCGGAGGGTGGGAGTGAGGGTGCGGGGAATAGCAGCACAGGAGGAGGAGGTGGAGGAGGAGGGGGAGAGGATGACAATGCCGCGGCGCTGAGTGCGGGCGGGGGCGTGGTGGTTTTCAAGTACAGTGACCAGGTGAGGGGGTGCTGGGGGGGGCGGAGGTGAGGTCGTGTGTGAGGGGAGACGAGGTGAGGGAGAGCCCCCGCTGAGGAGCAGCAGCCTGTCCTGCGGTGCCATGAGAACCAACGCAATCCAGCAATCAACACACCCATCTTAGCTCCTGCCTTCTCCGCTCACCCCACTCCTGCCCTTCTCCCCAACCTCCTCCCCACCTCACGCGTCAGATGCGCGGCCGCCCCGGCTTCGCCGCCGACTGGTACCAGCTGGGCTCCCCGGCCCGCATCAACTACACGCTGGCAGCATACCAGGACGGTCAAGACGTCTTCAAACCCGAACTGCTACTCCCGCAACTGCAGCAGGGCCAGCAGGGGCAGCAAGGGGGAGGGGGGTTGCGTGTCGTACACAGTGACCCCCAGCTGTACGACTACGGCACGGTGTATGCGTCCCAGAGCTTCCGCATGGCTGACGGGCGGGAGGTGTGGTTCGGTTGGGTGTACGAGGACTCGCTGGGTTGCAGCGAGATGTGTGCGCAGGGCACACCCCTGACTCAGGCGCTAGGCTGGCAGGGACTGCTGACCTTCCCGAGATCTCTGTCGTACGACACAGATCTGCTACAGCTTGTCGTACGGCCGGTTTCGGAGCTAGCGCTGCTGAGGAATGCGCCGCCGATGTATAACGGAACCCAGCGGGCTGTGGTCGCAGTGGCGTCGCCGGCGGCGGCAGCGGCGGCTGCTCCAGGGAATGACCCTGCCAGCGGCGGCAGCGGCGGTGAGAGTACGACAGCAAGTACGGCTGGAACGGTGGTGCCGGCATCGGCAGGTGCAGGGCGACGAGCGTGCTGTCGTACAGGGCTTGTGAGCTGCGTAGGCGTTAACGGTACGGCGGCAGCAGCAGATAATACAACTGCAGGTCTTGTAGGCAGTAGCAACAGCAGCTCTCAAGGAAATGCGTTGAGGAACTGTGGTGACTCGGCGTGTTGGATTTTGGTTCCGGAGGAGCGCCGTCCGCAGGTGTACGGCAGCAATACTACCCGCAGTGCCAGCAAGGGGGAGGTTTCGGAGCCGCCCGGATCTGGTAATGCAACTGCCAACGGTAGCAGCGACGTGTCAGGGGTGCTGCGGAGGCGCCTGGAAGTGCAACTGAACTTCACCATCCACATGCTGTACTTCCCGTCGCCAACACCACTGTCACAGCCGCCGGCACCAGCGGAATCCCAAGAGCCGGGTGCCCCCGCTGCCAACACGACCGACGTCCCAGTGGCAACCGGCAATGTGACGGAATGGCAGCCAGTTGACTTCGAAGTGGGTTTTCGGTTGCTAACAGGCAACGGAACTTACGTGGCGGTTTACATCAACGGTACTGTTCCACCGCCGCCGCCGCCGCCGCCAACGGATGCGGGAGCCGCCACCTCGACGGCTGGTGCCTCACCCTCACAGCCGACCACCGTCCTGCTAGGCGGCCCGGCCGGCGGAGGAGGGAACGGCGCCGGCGGCGGAGGCGGCGGTGGTCTCTTTGTGGAGCGGGCGTGTGCGGGCGGCATGACCAACGGCACCCGCTTGCAAGGAGGGCCCTTGCCGCTGTGGATGCGGATTGAGAACCTCAGCGGCCAGCCATCGGCCGACACCGCTGGCGGCGGGAGTGGTGGTACGACAGGAAGTGGTGGCGACGGCAGCGACGGTACGACAGGAATTGTTAGCGGCGGCGTGCAGGTGGCGGTGTTGGGCGCGCAGCTGCAGGTTCTGGTGGACCACTCGGTGCTGGAAGCGTTTGGTGGGGGCGGGCGGGCGCGTGTGACGTCACGGTTCTACCCGGCTGGGGAGGACGTGGCGTGGGGCGTGCAGGGGTACGCGCAGACGAGGGTGGGAGCGGGTGCTGCTGCGGCGGCCGCTGGGAGTGGGGAGCAGCAGCAGCAGCCAGGGCAGCTGCAGCAGGTGATGGTTGGGTACAGTGGGGCGGTGTTTGGGCTGGGAAAGGGCACCTGAAAGGTGGCTATGCTGAGATACGGTACCTCTAAAGCCACGAGCGTTAGCAATGTGCATGGGAGGGCGTGCTTGTGTGCCACGGAAGTTTAGGCTAGAGCTTTTACGGCCGGTGGTGACAGTGCCGCAAGCGGTTAGTGAATTGCCATGGAAATGCCAAGTGGGAAAAACTTTTCTGTATGGTTAAAGTACAAACTAAGTTGGTAATGTTGTTGCGTTACGGCGCTTGGAGGTTGAGCGGCAAGCGCGAGAGAAGCCGCAACTTGAATTCGCACCATGAAGCTTCCGCCTGTAACCGAGTTACGTTTAAGCCATTGGTGACCACACTTGGATTCGTTGTCAGCTTGGGATCTGGACAAAAAGAGTAGGAGTGACTGCGACTGGCTACCCTCCGCCACGCCTAACAAAGCTCTACGCTAGCATCGCGCAAAGGCTTTCTCGTGCGTTCAGGCAGGGAGAGCTTCGGATCTATGTCATGGCGCAAAAAAAATCCTCAGGACTCTCACGCCCCGCGAGTCCTCAGGAAACCCCTCCTAGTGCCTCCAAGGTAAGCGCCCAGCTGCACACCGCTGCTAGTATGCTAGCATGTCCGTAAAAGATACGCGATATGCGCAGCAAGGTGCAGCGAGAATGCCATCCTTGTTCGTGTGCTTCTGCATTAGTACGGTATAAAAGGTAAAGCAGATGTCCTGACGGTAGAGGCCGAACTAGACCATGGTCACGTAGACGTCAGCGTTAAGAATGCAAACATGGGGTCTCGTCCAGCTAAAGCGCTTGCGGGTTCCATGCGAGGATTGCGAGCAGCGGGCACAACGCACCTTTGAGAAATGGGAGCGGCTAATTTCGTCTACCGACTTCAATACATATCGTCACCAGTAAATGATAGTCCTTCCACAAATACAGATGTTGCACAAAGGGTAACATGCGCGACCCACGATTGTTGCCAATGTCTGGCATAGGTAGCAATTTTCCATAGTGCATCGATATCCATCTAATGATTCATAGAGTATATGATCCCTAGTATACACACCGCATGGAGTGCATGAGCTGCCGTACAGAATCCCGTTCTCCGAGCTAATCAAAGGTTCAAGCAAAGAAGGGACACAGAACTGCACTGGAAATGGGACTGCCGGACGGTCCTGCGCTAGTAGGGAGCTGTGATCGCGCGTCTAAAATTTGGAACGTTACATTTTTAATTTCAGGGCGCCACAGTTTCCCTATACGCTTTCTTGAATGATAGGTTCTGCTTATCTATTAGGCGCCATCTTACCCAGTTTCACCGACCGCTCTTTTACCTCACAAGCAAGCGCAACATATACTCAGAACGCTTTTGTCAACGATCGCCTATAATCAATGAACGCAACCACAAACGCACATGTATGGCGCTAATTGGAATATGCGGGCGATGCGAGAGACAAAGTTGCCATTCCGGCTTGTGCTAGCTTGCACCCTCGTGCTTGCTGGGATCCCCCAATCAATTCTGGGATCTTCACATTTGGTGTTCGCTGGGCAATGGTCGTCCCAGCATACATACAAGAAGTGCGGATGCTCTTGTCAGGTGAGGCTTAATTTGGTGGGACAAACATCTGCCTTCGCAACGCATGTGGGCATGTATGGGTGCTTACAAGGTATGGCAAAGACTTTGGAATGTGTCGGAAACGGTAAGGAAAGCCAGGATACTGTTGTTTTCGTGCCCGGAAGCGCAAGGTTGGCGGAAGCACTAGTCGCTAGCCCGATGCCGCTTGAAAAGTATGCACCAAATTGAATAGTAACTCTTTTATGCAGGCCGTCGACAATCTTGATTCTGGCCTTTCGAGTTGCAAGCTGCCTACTTTCCTCGGCGGCTCACTAGATCCGCTGCAGCTATTCGGTGGCGCTAGTTCAGTGCTGACAGTGCAGCAAGCATACGATGGGTATCATGCGGATGAGGTGGTCGGCTCAATCGTCGCTTTTGGCTTCAATGGCAGCTTAATCGTCACAGTGCTATCGGAGTGTGGTTGGGCTTTGCTTAGCCCTCCTATTGTCTCCTTCAATGTCAGCGACATGGCAAGCTCGGGTGCTGGAGCAGAGACAATGGCAAAGGTGAGCGTTAGCGCGAGTAATGACATTGATGCTTGACAAAGTTTACAACCATATTCCCAACCAAAACATGCATACGCGTCTCTCATAAACATGATCAATGCAATTACACCTCCTCGCCCACGTGGCGATCCTTCTCCCTGTTGTTGGCCGGGCCGATGGCAGGCCATTCCCCACGCCTTTCCTGATTTCCCATCACCACTATGCCTCTTACCTCACACCACCACCGCCCACACTGCTTCACCCATCCAACCGCAGGATGGAGCGCTGCTCTACAACTGCGGCTCAGCTCAGCTAGAGCTGCCGGAGGGTGCGGCCGACTGGTTGCGAGCCAGCTCCCCCTCCACCACATCCACCACCACCTCCTCTTCAACTCCGCAATGGGGTCTTGGCGACAACGGCGCGTTGCCGTTTGTGGCGGCAGTTCGGATGCAGAGAGTCGAGTGGGTTACAGGAGTGCAGTAGTTTTGTGGCGTTTGGAAAGTGGATTGCTGAAAGGCTCAGTAGTTTTGTTAACACTCCTTCTCGTCCCTTTAAAGCTACCTAAGTTGTGAACGAGGATATCAAAACTGCCCCACTCTTCACAACCCCACCACTTACCTTGTCCCCACCCAACCCCACATGTTACCAGGTGTGCTAGCAGCAGTAGCAGCAGCGATGCCAGCGACAGCGACAGCAGTGGCGCGGCCGGGAGTGGCACCGATGCCGCGGCCTGCGTTGCTTCGGGTCCTGCGGAGGTGCTGACGCAGGAGGTGCAGCTGCGGCCTGCGTACACCATGAATGCCAGCCGGATTCAGGTGGGGGAAAGGAACGCAATCTAGTTGCAAGTGGGCGGCTGGGCGGGGAAAAACGAACGGAAACGTTTGCAGTTGAGGTTAAAAAGAAAATTGAAGTTGTAAGTAAGCCAATTGATGCCCGGCCCATGAGCCCTGGCCGTATGTGATGGCATATGGGTACGTGGGGGTTGTTCCTCCTCCTTTTCTTATAGCTCCGTCTGCCCCTGTCACCACCCCCGTGTCCTGTGTAGGCACTGCAATCTGTGACCAGCGGTGGCAGCTCGAGCAACGGCGGGATGCGGTACAGTGCCGTACCGGAAAACTTTGAGCTGGTTACCTCGATGACTTTGCAGGTGGGTTGCAGCCCGTTGGCCTCAGTGGGTGAAGGTGGTCGGTCGTTGAGTTGGGATTCTCGATCAATCAACTGGGTGCGGCCGTTACGGGCAGTGAGCGCATGTGGCTTTGGGCGCTGCAGCTGAGGCTGGGCTTGCCTCACCAGACTGGAAAAATGCCTTTCCTTCGTGTCGTTAGTTTTAAACGGAGTATTGCATTCTGCTGTTATGAATTCTATTGGTCCTGGATGCAATTCCTAAGCACGTCATTATGTACGCACATTACGATAGGTGCGGCTCGACGAGGAGGAGCAGCTACTTGTACGGCAGCTCTGGGCGGAGGGCGACGTACTGACGGCACGTGTCGTGTCGTACAACCTTTCACTGTCACGTGTGGGACTGAAGCTGCCGGGCTCGGAGTCGAAATCGTCGAACAGCACTGCCACGCAAGCTACTGCGTATCAGCGGTGCTTGGTAGCCGCGAGGGAGCAATCAGCTGCGCTGGCAACAGCGCTTTCCGTGCCGAGCGCGAATGTTTCCGTGGTATGCGATGGTGAGACGATGGCGTCGTCTGGTTTGGAGAGAAACGGCAATGCGACGATCGGCAGCAGCAATAACGGCAGCAGTAGCATTGAAGGGTTTTGCGGCATCACGGAGGATGTGGCGGTGGTTTCGGTGTCAGTCTTGATAGACCCTGACGCTGACCCACGGGTCACTTTGGCCGCTGTGCAACAGCTGCTGTCGCCGCAGTCCGAAGGGGCGGCGCCGCCGACTGCTGCCGCCCGCTCTTCGCCCATCTTGACAACGTTTCCGAGCATCACAGAAGCAGAGAATGCTCTGACGCTGTTCCTTTGCATCGGCAGCGGCAAAAACAGCACTGGCGATGCGGTAGGGTCCTCAGCAGGCAGCAGTGCGGCTATCATGAGTGTTATTGCTCTGACTCTGCGGGTGGACGTGCTGGGCGGAAACTGGGAGGTCGATTCATCCGGTACGCTACGGCTCTTGCTGCCTTCTTCGGCTGCTGGCGGCAGTAGCAGCAGCGGTAGCAGCAGCAGCAGCGGTACCAGCAGTGGCAGCAGCATCGCTAGCTCTGGTTCTGGTTCAAGTTCTACGTATCAGCAACTGCCGTCCGCCTCCTCAGTCGTTGCTACTGCTAGCAGCAGCGGCAGCACTAGCAGCGGCATGGGAATTACCTTGACCATGCAGCCCCTGGCGACGTCGTCGCTGCTAACCGTCAAGAACCAACCGCCGCCGCCGTCGCCGTCGCCACCGCCGGGTGTTTACGTTGTGGTTACGGCACCTGATTCCGGCCGGGGCTCGGGGCTGAGCTCCTCGGTGCTGATTGCTGTGTCCGCGGCCGTGTCTTCAATCACAACTCTGTTGCTGGTGGTTATCGTCGCGGCGGCTGTTCGCTGCATGCAGGTAGGGGGGAAAAATTATATAAGTGAAACAACGAATAGGTAGGGGGGGGTCTGGGACTCGCCGCGCTGCATGTACGGCGGTTCGTTCTTGGTGGGCTGCAGCGAGCTGCTGCGAACAACTTGGTCAGAGTAGCTCTTGGGATGGTTGACCGCTGGGCTTGATTGCGGTGTGTTGCTGATGTCCTTGCCGGGTCTTACACTGCTGGGCCTCCGTTGTCGTCTGTGAATAACTGCTCCCGCGTCAGACTCAGAAACCGCAATGCCCCTGTCTGTCCGCCCGCCTGCCCCTCATCCCGCAGGCGCATCGCTCGGGGCCCGAGGTGAGTGTTCGGCTGACTGAATCTTGTTCCGTTTCCACACGGAATACAACGCGCATCCACGCACATCTGAAACCACGGTGTTTCGGTCTTACTTACCGCGGTGTTGCATCCGGCTGCTGCGACCAGTTTGCTGTGTATGCCACCTGTTCTCGTCCACTTAACCGCACAACAACACCACATGTGTATTGCAGTCTATCAACGCACCACACTCCACATGCACCAACCCGCCCATTCAGTACATCCCGACTCGCGGCCAGTTATCTTCAGTATCTTAACCCGCCCACCCACCCACAGGTTCACAGATCGCTTCGCCAGCACTCGTACTTCAATCAGCTAGTTGGAGCCCTGCCCTCCGTCCTCGCAGCCATGTCCCGAACCGCACCTCTGGCATCAGCAGCTACCCCCGCTGCCCACGCCGCCCCTTCCAAAACCGCCGTCTCACCGCCCTCGCCGTCGTCCACCCTTGCAACCGACTCTGCGATCCTACAAGCCACCAGCTCCTTCCCCTCGCCTTCGCCCGCGGGCATCAGTGCTACCGCCCGGCAGCCGCAGCCACAGCAGCAGCCGCAGCAGCCGCAACCACAGCCACAGCAGCAGCCGCAACCACAGCCTGCATCCCGGTCGGCAGACGGATCTTCAGCAGGAGCCTCCCCCACCCGGTCAACACCTCCGCTACCGCCGCCATATGAGACGGCAACAGCAGTAGCAGCAGCCACAGCAGCAGTGGCGGCAGCGGCACCCGCCTCGCAGGGCCGCCACCCACCGGCGTCATCAGCGGTCGCAACAGCCCCGGCAGCAGCAGCGGTGGCGCTACCGCCGGTGCCACCCCAGCCGCCCAGCTTGCCTGCTGTGCTGCCGGCAGGTCTGCCTCAGGAGCAGACGCAGCAGCCCACAGGGCAGGAGTCGGCGCTGCTACCGCCGCCGTCGCTTCACACCTCACCGGACTCGTCCCAGCTGCTGTCGCCGCTGCCCCAATCTCAGCCGGTGCCATTGCTGCCGGTCGAAGAGGGACGGGAGCAGGACCCGCAGATGGACAGCCAGGAAGGAGAGGTGGCGGCAGCGGCGGCAGCAGCAGGAATGGCAGCAGCAAGGACTGTGCAGCCCTTGGCTTCTGATCTTGGACTGCCGGCGGGCCGCGACAGGATTAGTTTGGAGCTGTCAGCCATGCCTCCGCCGGCGGGGCGACCCACGGGCGTTGCTCAGCAGGCTAATCGGCTGGCCTCCACGCTACAGAGGCTGCTCACGAGCGGGAGGAGGGATAACAGGACGCGACCGGAAGATTTCTATGTGTGGAGCACTGGGTTTCCGACTGAGGAGCCGTCGCTTCAAACAGGCAACTTGGACGAGCATCCCCATGATCCGCCCCTGCCGAGCACCTACATTGAATTAGAGCCGGAACCGGAGGATCGGAGCGTTGTTGTCGGAAGGGGATCGGGATCCGGATCGGGATCCGGATCTGGATCAGGCAGGGGTTCCGAACAGATGCATCAGCAGCAACAGCAGCAGACACAGCAGACGCATCGTGAGCAGTGGTGGCCTCGGCACCCCCGGCAGCTGCAACCCCGCCAGCAGCAGCAGCAGCAGCAGCAGCAAGCGCATCTGCAGCGACTTGAAGAAAGCGCTGACGGGTAGGCTCAGAGGAAATCGATGAGTGGTGTCGGTGGTGTAAGAGGTTGGCGAATATTGGAACATGCCGTAAACTGTTCGTGCAGCTTTGCACTTTCCCTCTCGGCGTGATGTTGATTGGCGCAGTGCGGGTGTTGTGTGATTAGCGGTGCTTCTTTTACTTCATTTGCATGAGTTTGTGTTTTTGCTGCCACTGCTGCGAACAGCCTGTCCTTGCTGGTTTGTTCCGTGCAATTTATTGGTAAGGCCATTGCATTTATCCAGTTCTCTGGTAGATGATTTGCGACCCTTTGCGACCTATTCTCGCACCACACGGACTAACTCCAAGGACGGACTTTAGGACGGTCGAGGAGTAGGGCACGGGGTGACGCCCTGTCAGCAAACCTTATTAGTTACGCCGGAGGCTGCGCTAGGAAAGGTGCCTAGTGCATGCCGTTTTACTGTTACACAGCCGTTACGGTTAGACGGGACGGTTTAAATTTCTCGCGACGATTGACCTTCCGCCCTCAACTACCCTGTACGCAAGCGTCGGAACTTGCACGGGAAACCCGGGTACGGTTCAGGAGCGTGATCTATTGGGCTGTGCTGCTAGGCTTGTCGACCGGCTACCTTGGCAACGGGCACTGCATTGAGGCAGCAAACTGCCCCTCGCGCGCTGGTGATTTATCAGTGCATGTGGGATAGGGTGTGCGCCGTACAGTGCTTGAGTCTAGAAAGGGGCGACGCGTGCCTTCCGCTTGGGAGTAATGGGCGGTAGGGAGAGAAGGAACAGCTCCTTTGCGTGAAAATGAGTTGCTGTTGTGGACAGTACCGCTGTGGCGACGCTGGAAGTGATGGCGGCAAATTGACTGCGTCCAGCAAAACATGGAGAGGGGTCTGATGTGGAAGGACGCCTCATCCCTTTGCGTTGCGGGGCTGCTTGGAGGCACAGCAGGATGCACGGCGCGATCCCGTGGAGCTGCAGGTTGGATCCGGACGTTGGAGGTTGGGGGACTTTGAAGGCAATGGTTGTGGGTCGGGAGAGGGTCAACTGGGTCGGTGCTCAGTAGGATTAGTCGGTTGGTTCGTTGGTCGGCTTGATGCTTTGGGTACGCAGCGTATCACGGTGTGTTTCACAGGTTGTGAGGCAAAGGACGTGTCAGGTTGCTTGTTACTGGCCTGCCTCGTGTGTCTGTGGCTGCAAGGAGGTTCCAAGGTGCAGGGAGGGGTGGTTAGGTAGCAGGGGCTGCTTGCACGCATGCTGTTGTTTGTGATTACATGTGCCCCGCTGGACCCCCCGGCCAATGCCGGGTTTTCGTGCAGGATGGTCCCTTAGCTGAAGGAATCAGGCGGGCTGGTTGGTTGCAATTGGCTTTCTGAAAAATAGAGAAAAAAGGAAAAGAAGATGGCATCCGCCAACTGGCATTTGACACGCTGCTGTGTTTTGCTGCCGTACTCTGTGGTATGACTCTGCACATTGTTGTCGATTGCATTCGTGCTATTTATGTGTGCAATCAACACGTCGCTTGTGCATGTGAAAACGTTTTGAGTCGTGCGTGTGAAGCATTGCGTGTGTGATCACGTACAATGGAGGATGGAAGGCTGGGACATTCAAAGACAAGGAAGGGAGCATTCATGTATGCGTGCGTGTGTTATCTCCCATATGCTTGGGCGTTTGTTTCGTTGAATTGGGTCTTCATGCCCTGCGTTCCTCGCACCTAGGTGACTACGTGCCGTTCGTGCTTGCTCTACAAGTACGGAAAGCTGCGTGTTTTGGGGGGCGAGAAGAAGTTACACGTTGGGGCAGTTGTTGTCGACCCTCCGTTCGTTGATGTTTATGCGTCCTCGTCCGTTCCCTTGTTTACGTAGGCTTTGGTGTTTGCAGTTCATTCGTTGCTGTCGAGCTAATGCCCTATGTGGCACGTATGCTGGATGAGTAAAGATGCAGATTGAAGAGGCAGGAGTGTTTGGGTGATGCGGCAGTAAGAGCTGGCGCGCGCAGAAAGGTTTGGAAATATTCCCGGATTCTCCTTTCACGAAGAACCCGTGCATGTGCAGGGTTTTAGATTCTACGTCGTTCAGGTTCGGCAGGTCTGTAGGTAGTAAAGGAGGCTGTCTTGACAAGGCGATGGCAACATGCAGTGTGCTGGTTTTGTGAGTATCCTGGACAGGCAACTTGCTGTATGTGGGCTTCCGTAATAATGTGAGCACTTTCCAATCTCCCAAGGACAAGCTACAACTTCGTCGCCGCATAGGTTCTTGGAAACCGGAGGTGCACGGGTGTGTTGTCGTACATTTGTAGCGTGGAAAGGCTTGCATGGAAAAGGAAAGGCCTTGGTGTGTGATTCGAGGGTAGGGTGGCAGGATGGACGGTGGAAGAGAGCTGATGGTGGGCTTGGTTACTCCGGAAAGGGGTGTTTCTTTCCTGAGTTGCATGTTTCGCATTAGCGGGCAAGGCATGGCACGTTGTCGCAGCTTGTGCTGTGCTGGTTGATAAGCAGCAGCAAAAGCCGTATGCTGATAACACACCTGCGAGGGCCCTCGTGCATACCGCCCGTAGTAAGATTGTAGGAGGCTAGTCGTCGACAGGGCGAGCTTTGGTTGGGTTTTGGTAGCGCGTTCCCTGACCACGACCGTTGGCACCTTTTTGTGTTCGCATGATCTTTGTTATGTACGAATGTATCTGTCTTTCTCGGCCCGTTCCGGCCGTTTGAGCTTTTGAATCCGCGCGGGAGGGAGCTGGATCCAGATCTCAATTATACTTGTTTCCTTCCAGGCTTCAGGCGACGCCAGTGAGAGGACGTTAGACGAGCTCGGAAGCTTGTTGGGGGTACGCCGCTAGTTCACTGTACGCCCTGTTGAGTATAGTCGGCGGTTGACAGCTTTCCTAGTCGCTACGTGTGCCGTACCACTTACTTACTAGCACAATTACTTGATGTTGCAAATGCCGTGCTGTCCACTGCTGCTGCTGTAGATACATTGCTGCGTCCGTTGGGGTGCCACCGTGATTCTCAGTTCTGTTGTCTATTACGTAACTAAAAACGTACGAGGCGAGTGAGGACTACGTTCAGCTTAAAGCAGCGCCGCTACCTTGCTCCGTACACGTGTGCATGTGTGTTGTGGGGTGTTCCACCGGCACCGGGGGTTACTTAATGACCAGCGATATCGGGACAAACTGGAGTGCCGAATTTACGCTGACTAGCTATCAATTGTCCATGATTGCTTTCAGTCTGGTTTTACTTTTACAGTTTGTGCGGGTTCAGGTGTACGGCAACAGATTGGGCTGCGAGGTACGGCATGACACGGTGGACGAGCGGAGCCAGAGCCATTCCGTACGTTTTTGGATCAGTTGTATCAGTTGTATGGGTGTGCGTTGGTGGCTGGCCAGTTAGCAGTAACTCGAGTAGCTGTGCTGAGTCGTGCTGTGACGGACCAGCCGTTAACTACCGTAATAAAGATAGAGCGTTGCTTTATTGGTTCTTACCGGTAACAAGCGCGATCAAGCTAACGTTAGCGATCAGTTAACGTGGTATAATATTTATGGGCCCACCATTCCTCATGGTTCCCTTGTTTATGCCCTGTCGCTATGGGCTTCATTAATATCGGTATTGCAGCAGGGCCTATCGTTGTGCTGGGGTGTTGTAGTGAATAAGCCCGCTATGTGTACAATGAATTTGAGTTTCGGCGTGACTTGTCGTGATTCAGATCTACAACGTGGATGACAAATACAATAAGAGCAAGTTAATCAGTTTCACACAATTGTAACGCCGCCACGTGGATAAAATGTTGGTAAAGCATATACGATTCCTAACGGCTCGCTGCGTTCGTCTTTCTTTTCCTCATGTACGACCTCCTCAAAGGAGGTAGGCCTGCAAGACCATTGGGCCTTACAATACTGCCACGCAGCCTCCAGATTCCTCCTCCTCAGAACGCCCAGTCGTCGTCTCCTCCATCCCCTCCCTCCCCAACCGACCCCTCCACCCAGGTGTGCAGAGGCTTCACTCCAAGCATCGCTCCCACCGCTGCCACCGCGTGCTGAGCCTGCGCGGGAGGCCGGGACCGCGGCTGCGGTGGCGGCTGTCGCTGCAGTTGCTGCTGCCGTTGTTTCTGTACGACGGTGTGAGGGTACGAGTGCGACTCACCATGCCATGACGCGGGAAGCTGAAGCCGCTGAGGTGGCACCGGGGAAGGCGCAGCAGGGAATGCAGCAACCGGACCCGGACTCGCCTCCATGCAGCCGCCTGCTGGCGTGAGGCCGCAGCGGCGGTCCCAAGGGGCAGCCTGCTGCTGGGCGGCGGCTTCGTCCTCTGCTGGGTGCTCCTCCCCCTCCCACTCCCCCTCATCCCCCTCGATCCATGCATACCCCGCTCCGACATCCTCGCCTCCTGCCTCCCCCGGACATACTCCCCAATCGCCCGTAAAATCCTCCTCTGCTCTACCGCCATCCAGAGCCCCATACGCATCGTCTTCCTCCTCCCATGCGGCCGCTGACCCATGGGTCGGTAGCCCTCCTCCGCCACCGTATCCTCCCCCATCCGCCTCATCCCCGCCCAGCGCAGCTTCCTCCTCTCCTCCTGCCTTCACATAACCTTCCGCGTTCCCCCATTCCTCACCCCAATCCTCGTCCCCGTTACTCCCAAGCATGAGCACCTCACCATCCTCCGTGCGCATCTCCCGAAAGCCACCGCAGACACCACCGCTCGCATCGCCGACGTCTCCGCCGCCACCATAAGCGCCGTCGCCGTCGCCGCCGCCTCGGCCCCGCTTGCGCCTGACGGCTGCCATTGCAGCCCTGCGCTGCGCCGCTCGGCGTTCCGCCGCCTGGTGCATGTGATTCGTAATGTTATCGTACAATGCGCCGTACAAGGTGTCTTCGAGTGCAACCGCTTGGCAGTTGAGGACGCGGCAAGCGTACGGCGCCAGGTTCGGGTTGTACGCGCGCCTGTTGGGGAGGGTGGCGTGGTGAGGGGCTTGGGATTGATTAGCAGGGCGCGGACAAGAGCGAGGGAGGAGGGAGGGCCGGGTAACGGCCAAATCATCCGTGGGTGGGTGTCAGGCGTGCGCTAGGTTCATTGCACAAAGGAACCCACCACACGCACTGCACACGTGCCTTCAACAGTCCCTCAGCCCCCCCACCTGATGATGCCCGCCAGCGCCCCCGCCACCGCGGGAACCGCTACATTCAACCGGGTCTCCAACCGGCCCATCAAGAAGCTACCGGTGTTGAAGCCACCAGCTGCTGTCGCTGCAGCACCAGCTGCTGCTGTTGAGGATGACCCATGGGTCGCCACCGCCGCCTGAAGCTGCGCCTTGGCGTCGGCCAGGGCCCCCGCCACCGCCTCTCGGATCAGCTGCGGTCGTTATTGCGACGGTACGGCAATCACAAGGGCGAAAACAACCGCAACAGCAGCCGATCAGCCGTTCATGCCATTAGGGCGCACATACATGCACGCATGGACACATGCTTGTACGGCAGCGATAGCAGCACGAGTTATAGAGAAGGGCAGCTACCGGAGTCATTGTAAGCAGACTAGTAGAGCAAAGCAGCGCCTGCAAACCTGTCGCCATCATACCTGTGTTTCCACGGAGGGAGTCAGCTGAGACAGGCGGCGAGGCAGCGGCCGGGTGGCTCCCAGCAACGTCAGCTGCGCCTGCAGGGCTGTGATGACCCACGGGTCGGGGGAAGGCAGGAACATGGAGAGAGAAGGCGATTCAGGGTTTTGGGAACAACACCGGTATACGGGATGACGGCTGAAATTTCAGTCCGGTACGAGGCGAGGCCAGGAGGTTTCACATTATATACAGAAGCCAGGAGCTACTGAACGTGTGCCTTGCTCGCACGCTCTTCCCCGAATTCGCATGCCTATTTCACCTTAAAACCCGCCCTCAAACCATGACATATTGCAGAAATTGCGAAGAAGCACAAGACTCCCCACACCGTACCTTGCAGCGGGCGAGGGTCCATGAAGAGGGACAGAACCAGGTGTGACATACACCAGGGGGGAGCGGCAGCTCCGCCGCCGCTACCACCACTACCACCGCCGCCGCTAGCAGCACTGCCGCCGCCGTCGGGTTGGGTGTACGACAGGGTTCCTCGGCCGCTGGATCCGCACGCGATGTCCAGCAAACGGATGCCGTACGCGTCCCATGGGACTGTCGGGGCCAGGAAATGGAGCGTTGGGTTAGGCAAGATTTGGGTTGGGAAGCGAAGACTTGATGGGGCCAGGGGGTATAGGTTGGCACGGGGTGGCACGTAGGCACGTAGGCAGGCAGACCGTTGTGATGGCGCGTGGCTGGCTTGTTGTTACTGGAAGTGACCAAAAGGCGGCCCCATTCGGTTATTTCTGCATCCGGTAGTCGCCATCTCGCCAAGACTTGTCCCACCTGTACCAACGACGCTTGTGGCTAACACAGCCCGCACACCGGCTCCCTCAGTCCCTTACCGCGTTTCAGACCTCGTTCCGCAGGTTCCGACGCCTCCGCGGGTAGCCCCTCCCGTGCAAAGCAAAGCCTCGCCACGCGACATGTCGAACCATCCTCCGCCACCACCGCCTCCGCCGTCGTCGCTGTTCCCTCCTTGCTGCCACTACCGCGATTGCGCCGTCCGCCGGGCGGCTTGTGCCCGGCTGGCCGTACAGCGGTTGGGTTGCTTGACACGGCGGGCTGACACACCACAGCCGCCTGCGCGAACCAACACACAACAAAGTCGTCAGCGCACTGCTGCTGCTCGAGTTGCTGTTGTAGCGGCTGACGCTGCTGTTGCTGCTGCTGATCCTCGACTTGTTGGTACGCTTCCGCTTCGTCTTCCTCGAATTCTCCCCGTTGCTCGTCTCGTCGCTGCTGCTGCTTGGCTGCCCTCCGGCTGCTGCTCCGCAACGCGTCTGCTCGGATCCTACCCAAGGGCTTTGGAATGGCGGCCACAACGCTGCATGCCCCTATCAGGTGTTGAGGAGGTCGCGATGCCTGCTGCTGCTGGGGCTGCTGTGGGTGCTGTTGCTGCTGACCCAAATCGTAGTTGTGCTCGAAGCCGGGATTGATGCTTGAACTGAGCAGAGATGGGTCCAGAAGTGCTTGGCTTGGTTCGGAGCGCGATGTAAGCTCCTGCTGTTGCGTGCGTGGCGGTGCTAAGCGTTCTTCTGCTGATTTGGCAGCGGCGGTCTGCTCGCTAGAAGATAAGCCGTTGACACATTCTTGTGCTGCGGCGAGAAAAGCATGCAGGACGTAGTAAAGTGCAGCGAAACGTGTAGCCCGCTTGGGCAGGCGACAACTTGCGAGGAGGAGAAACACCGGTATCTTCAGGCGGAAACAACACGCACCTATCGTCCTGCGGATTTCCCTACCTGTTGACGGCAAGGCGTCCAGATCCGTGGTTATGATGGTGGAAGCGATGGCTTGCGAGAGTTGCTGTGTTAGACCGTTCACGACTTCTTCGAGGGGCGGCTGATGCGAGGACGCCGCAACCGATGCGGTGCTCTGTGCTCTGTTTTCAGCATCTTGCAACCATAAAGATGGAGCTGCGGCCAGCTCGTCGAAAAGATTTGCAAAGGGCTCAGCCAAATCGCCTTGCATGGCGCCGCGAGCAAAGTAACTTGGACTCTGCTAATACAGTTGCAAGGTACAAAGCGTGAAATAAGCTCCAGATGGTTCAGCACATTTGCAGGCAGGTGTTTATGCTGCACTGTTTGCGCAGCAGGACGGTTTCCATGCTTGGACGAGCGGCCAGTTGGTTTCTATTTTGCAAAGAGCAACAACCAGAGCTTCTCTCCCACTGTGAATCTTACTACGCTTCATGTACTGTACGCATTGGACACCTAGACCCTTTTCTGGTCCTTGCCGTCTTGATTGCGGTTGCAACGACCCACGGGACGGGGAGATCTCCGTGTCGGCCTCTCCATGACTTCAATCCTTTGCTGGCTGGTATACACATGCAAGGGATAATTTCTTCACCGGTTAAACTCCAAATATACGACACTAAAGTTAATGTTGGGGCTTTGGGTAGTGTGCACTGTTTGTCGTTTTTGCTCTTGTTTGCCACCCGTGAGCTATGAGCCCCCCCGGCCCATTTGAAAGCGCACCCAGGAATTGCTGATCAACACGTTCATTACAATTGCGTTGTGCATGCCGCCAGTGCTGAAATTTCCGTTAACTTGACAAAACCTGAGTCGGTAGGAGGTACGGCTCATGTGGGTCGTGTAGGCCGTCATACGGAATTGCCGTGGTATCAAGTACTTTACATGTTGGCGACCCGCAGGGCTCACCGCTTCCACCCTTCATTGCAATCACAAACGTCTGGAACACTACAACACGTCCTTATGCAGCAGCAGCACTCCTAAACAGCACCTGGCTGGGGTAATACGGTACCTTGGGAGCTGCTGTGTATAGTAGCCAGACAATGCCACGAGTGTTGACGACAACACCGCTCTCATGAAGCGCATTAGGAGATACAAGTACAAGCGTCAATCCTCACTCCATTCTTTCTCTCTCGACAAAGCTCGGGAATACAGGGTACCAGAGAAGCGAAAAGTCAATAAGAAGGACTCAGCCAACAATTTATACATATAACATAGCAGCATAGCATACCATGAAGAGTTACGACTTACGAGGTGTCCCTACGCACTGACACACTGACATACTGACACACTGACACACCGGCAGGCGACGTCAACTGCTACTGCGCAACTACTATATAGAAACCCCCCCACCACACACACCTTACGTTTCAACACCTTAATAGCACACCGTACACGGTCGCATGACACACAAACTATGCTGTATGGCTGCGCAAGCAGCAACATACCAACCATCCACATATTACCAGCCCATTCCGGTCTCCTCCTCGGCATCACCGCCACCACCACCACCACCCTTCTAGACTCCCGGTCCGATTACGTACGTGTCATAATGGAAAGCCTCCAGTGCGTGCCTGCCATGCCTGATAGCTCCAAACTCCACTAGCCTCCACTAGCCTCCACTAGCCTCTCAGTGACACTGCCTGCAAAACTGTACATCACGTCCGAACCACTTCCGCCATCTCTCCCCATCTCCGTCCCTCTCTTATCTCCCTGTCAATGCCGCATCACTTCTCAGCTACACATGTACTCCGGCCCCAAAAAGCAAAACAGCCGGAGGCGACACGCACTTGTACCCACCCCTCTGCCCCCGCCCCTGCCAACCGCCTCTCCCCAAACAACACCCGTCAAGGCCCAACCTCATCATCAAGCCCCGACCCACCTCGCAGCATCCCTCCTCCTTCCTCCTCCTCTTGTGTCCCTCCACTCACCTACCCAACGCCGCGGACAATCAAAGTACCTGTTCCTTGCAAGGTTTGCAATTCTGCTCGCGACCACCGACTACACAAGCATGCGGTAAAGGCATGCATGGCGTACGAAGAGCCAAAAAGCGATACCGGCCTCTGTTGCCTATCTCCAGGAGTGCATATGAAACAGTTCACGTGCCCGTCCCCAGTAACAGGACAAAGCCCCTTCCTCAGGCCAACCACGCGGCTACAGCGACGCGGCGGGTTATGTACCGGTATGTATATTGAGTTGTACGTGCCATGCGGCCTCAAGCACTCCTTTCCCAAGCATTACGGCCACGCACCCCTGCAACCCTGCAAGGAAACACACCTAGCGTGAGTTTGGCCCAACAGCTTGGCCCAACAACACGACCCCAAGCAGATCAGAGTACCGGGAGGCCAGTGCCACCCTCAAACCAATGATTACCTCATGCCAGCCTAGGTAGGCGACCAGCGGATGAAGGCCCTCAAAAACGAACAACCAAAGCAACGATCACGCCGATGAATGATCGCTCCATGCATCTCCCTCATCCCCCCCTACATCGTCAAGCCCTACAAGTCTCACAACGTCACCGGCTCCTCGCTCCTCGCTTTGCAGCCCTCTCACAGCACGGTAGCACACCTCCACCACCGCCCCCATTTCCACACAACCACCGCCGCCAAATACACAGCACGACTACGCCGATTGAGACACGGCCTTCACCCCCACTCCCTCCGCCGCCCCCACCGGCGACACCGCGACCCTGGGCGACCCCACCACCACCGCCCTGCAAGCGGTTGCCGCCTCCAGCTGCTGCGGGCTGCCGGTTCCCATGACAACACCTGGCGCCTCCTCACCCCCAACCACAACATCGCCAACACCAGCCGCACCCCCATCCAAGCCGCCCCGCGCCCGCATGACCCTATCCACCTGCGCTCTCCCCTCCTCCTCCTCCTCCTCCTTCTCCCTTCCCTCCCCGGCATCCTTCGACTCGTCCTCACACCCAGCCATGCCCCCGGCAAGCTTCGCTGACCCTCCACACGTGGCAGCAGCTCGCTTGGGAGAGCAATCCCCCCCCACCTCCGTCTCCGTCTCCGCGCCGTCACCACCACCCTCCCCCGTCCCCGCCACCACCACAGCATCAGCCCTGCTCGTGGGGGTCCTGACAGGACATGCGGCCTTCCTCGGTGTGCCAGCAACACGCCAGCCCTCAGCTTCCTCCGCTGCTGCTGCTACTGCTGCCTCAGCACTGAGTAACACAGCCGCCGCCGCCGCCGGTGCCGCCCCTGCCGAGGCAGCCACCCTGCCTAAATCCAGAGCCTTCCGACCAGCTCCGCACTTGCGTCTGCCCTGCATGGCTGCGTCGTCATCGTCACCCTCCATTCCCTTCCTCACCGCACTCTCACCGCTGGAGCGACGGCTGCTGGCCCCGCTGCTGCTGGGGCCACTGGTACACCCCCCGCCACTGCCCTCCTCGGTGAGTCCTTCGGAAGCGCCGCTGCGGCCGCTGCTGCTACTCCCACCAGCACCACCACCACCACCGCTCTCTGTAAAGCCGCTGCTAGTGGTGGTGCCGCTGCTGCTGCCACCGCCTCCATCAGCACCCCCCGCCTCCGCCTCCGTCTCCGCATCCTTCTCCATGTCGTCGCCTTCATCCTCGCCCCCCTGCTGCTCCTCCTCCCCATCTTCCTCCTCCTCTGTCACCACCTCGCCATCCCGCAACGGCGGGAAGATGTGGTGCACCAGCTCGTTAATCGCGGACAGCGAAGACAGCGCAGTGGGAGGAACAGGCGGCGGCTGCGGGTTAGAAGCAGCAGCCCCTGCTCCAGCTCCCGTCACGGCTGCTGCTCCTCCCGCAGCACCCCCACCAGCATCCGCCCCACCCGCAGCCGCAGGCAGGCACGCTCCCGCTGCTGCTGCAGCTCCCCCTGCCGCCGTGCTGCCAACAGCGCTCCGGGGGCGCTGTGAGGCAGTGGGGCTGCGCAGCGGCGGCAGCGGCAGCGGCGGTTCGGAGGCGCGCGGGCTGGCACCCAGCAGGGGGGCGGAGGCGGCACTCGCCGCCTGGGTGGGGCTGGCGGCGGCGGCGGAGGAGGAGGCCGGGAAGGTGCCGCAGGCGCTGAGGCCGGAGGCGGAGCCGGAAGAGGACTCGGCGCCGGGGAGGGGGTGGTGGCCGCAGACAACACCGTCAACACCGCCGGTGTCACCCGCGTCTTCTGCTGCGGCTGCTGAGGCGGCGGAAGCGGGTTCAGCCGGGGGCGATGGGCACATGGTTGCAGTGGTGCCTTCGCTGCCGGCATCTGTTGGCATGACGTTGCTTTGGCTACTGTCCTTGTTGTCTTCAGTGGCTACCTCCTTAGCACCGTCGTTGTCCTTGCTGCTGGCACTGCTCTTGGGGTGCTTGATCTTGCTGCTGCTGCCGTGGTGATGTTTGGAGTGGTGCTTCGAGTGGTGTTGGTGGTGCTGCCCCACATGCTCCATCAGACCCAGTGGCTGCCGCAGCTCCCCGCGCGGGTTGATGATGAAGATGCGCGAGGGCTGCACCCCCACCGCCCGGTAGCTGATCTCGTCGGTGTCGCGGTTTCCGAACCCGCCGTAGAAGGGGTTCCAAGAAGGCGGGAAGATCGCGCGGATGTCCTGCAACGTCGCGATCTTGAACTCGTGCGGCCGCCGCAGGATCATCTCCCTGCGGGGCGAGGCGAGGCGAGGCGTGCGCGAGGCGAGGCGAGGCGAGTGAGAAAACAGGAGCGTGAGAGCTGTGATGCTCAGTGTATGTTTTGCAAGGCCGCAGCACAACCCGCAGAGAAACGACCTCAGCAGTGACCGCCCCATGGATGCCGTACGGCCCTTTCCAAGATAGTTGGACGTTCTTAACTCGACAACAATGGCATTGAGCGCACTGCCGTTCACACAGCGATTTAGCCGCGGTGACGAAGCCACGTGCCCATCACACACACTCCCAACACGCAGCTCCTGCCTGCCCGTGTGCCCGCCCCACCCGGCCCACCTGTACAGCGAGGGCAGCAGGCCGTGCGGCGATATGATGACGGGCCCCAGCGGCATGCGGTGCTGGCCCTGCACCAGCGTGTTGATGAAGTCGCGGGTGATGTTGGCCTGGCTGATGGAGCGGGAGCTCAGGTACATGATCTGAGGGGGGGAGGGGAGGGGGCCGGAGGGGGGCAGGGGATAAAGACGGAGGCGAGGGCAAGCGGAATGCTGGAATGACGGGACATAGACAGGCGGGATGCGGCTGGATGGCGCAGGAGGACACCTCCCTCCCCCCCCCCCTCCTCCCCTCACCCACCAGGTAGTTGTTGTGCCGAATGTTGGTGAGCAGCTGCGCAATGCCCGGGTGCGACCAGTCCAGCCCCATGGCTGGCAGCAGGTGGCCCAGCACGTCGGAGCGGGTGATGGTGCCGTCGATGTCGGAGATGACGATGCGCGTGCGCCAGTGCAGCAGGTACACGTAGGCGCGCAACTCGCTGCCGCCGATCCTAGAGGGCAGGGGGAGAGCAGGGGTGAGGGAGAGGGTGAGGGTGAGGGATGAAAATGGAGGCGCCGAGGAGGGTTGTGGTGCGGAAGTGAAGGTTTCCAAGGCACGGTAGGTGCTGGCTAGCTTGCTCTTTCGCCTAAAGACCTTCTTGCTTGCCGCATTAGCCCCTGGGTGACAGCTCTGACACCCATGCCCTAGCTGACATGTCACAAGTCCCAAGCAGAACGGTTGGTGGGCTGCAGCAGCGGGGCCAACAAGAACTAACTAACTACTACCACCACTACCCACTACCACATCCACTACCACTCCCACTACCACCCCTCCCAACCCACTTGTACACGATGGTGTTCTGACCGGGCTTGAGCGGCAGCGCCGCCAGCTGCTCCGCCCCCGGCGTCAGACTCTTCTTGGTGATGACCGTGTGACGCCGACCGCCGCCGCCACCGCCCCGGGTACCGCTGCCGGCTGCGACTGCTTCCGGTGGTGCCGTTGCGGCTGGTGTGGAGCCCGATCCCGCAGCAACCCCCGCAGCACCACCATACGCCCCCGTAGACACTGGTGAAGCTCCTGCTGCCACTCCGCCGTTGCCGCCAGAGCCCTCCCTAGCAACAGCAGCAGCAGCAGCGAAAGCACCGTCGGGTAATTGTTGCACGGCAATCCTGGCCTCCAACGACGACGGCGCCGGTAGCGCTGCTGCCCCTCCTGCTGCACCCGCGCCGCTCACACTCCCGCTCACCGCCCCATCCCCGCCGCCAGTGCTCCTCTCCACAACAGCAGCCTGTCCCTCCGCCGCTGGGCTCCCCTGCGGCAGCGACCGGGCCGCCGCCGCCCCGCCGCCGCCGCCTCCAGTGGTCGACGTACGAGCCGCATTGGAGTCACGACGCCCGCCGAACGGCCAGATCCGCCAGCTGCTGCCGCTCGTGCCGCCGCCCTTCTTAGGCGTTGTGTTCGCGCTCCCGCTCACTCGTCCGGCCGCATCCGCCTCCTCCTTGGCAGCCTCAGCAACACGTGTACCCTGCGCCGAGGCCGCTGCCAGAAGCGCCGCCGCCGCCGTCGGCGTGATCGGCGCCTCCGCTAGCGTCGCGGCGAGTCCCGACGGTGCCCAGAAGGGCGTTTCCGGCGGCACTCGCCAGACGCCGAACGCCATGAGGCCGATCAGGCTGTACGTCAAGGCATGCCAGGGATAGATCACACCGTTGCTAAACCGTACGACAAGGTCCGTACCGGTGCTGTCGAGCAGCGCCACGCCGCGTGTAGCAAAGGCCTGCTGCGATAACCGAAAGGCGTCGAAGCAGGCGCACGCCTCCGAGTACGGTGTATGCACTGTGAGCATGCCACCACATAGCGAGAACTCCAGTACCGGTTGCACAGGCGACGGAGGCGCCACTTGGGAGTGGCTGATGCTTCGGGATCCTGCAGCCGCCGCCGCCGTCGCAGCAGCGGAAGCGGAAGCCGCTGCGGCCGCAGCAGCAGCAGCCGCAGTAGCGGCGGCATCAATGGCTCCGGAGGTGGGTACCGGCGCCGAGGAGGAGTGCAGGAAGGCGTGGTGTTCGTCGGTGAGGGAGTGGGCGTGGGGGTGAGCGTAATGGTGCGGAACTGGGGTGGCAACGGGAGCATGGTGGGGGTGCGGATGGAGGTGGTGGTGGCTGTGGGGGTAGTTATGAAGGTGGGGAAGGGGCTGCATGGATGCCGAGGCAGCGGAGCGCTCCACGGCAGATGCGAAGAAGCCAGCCGCGGGGCCGCTGCCACAACCTCCAGCCGCGTGCGGTGCGACTACCGGTGCAGCCGCTCCGAACGCGAACCCGAGTGCATGCTGCTGCTGCTGCTGCTGCTGCTGCTGCTCTGGCGGCGGCAGTGGCGGCAGCAGAGACAGCTTCAGCCGCACGCCCGAGCTGTCTTCGCGAGCGGGGCATATAGATACGGATACCCTGCGACAGGACGCAGGCTGCGCTGCGGCCGCCCCGTCTACTGCCGAGGGCGGTGGCGAGGTCCTTGACGCTGCGACCGCATATGGTGCAGATGCAGCCGCGGCTGCTGTTGCAATGGGGCATGCAGCAGTACTGCCGTACGGGCTGCTTCCAAGGGCCGGCGGACTACATGAGGGTACACATGGGGGCGCCCCCGCGACATGCTCATGCGCACCTGAACCCGCGCTGGCCCCGCGGAGGCTGGAGGAGAGCAGGCTGATCGCCGGGTGGGAGCCTGACCCATGGGTCGCGCTTTCTGCCGCCACTGCGGCTGCGAGGCTGTCCCCTGTTGACGGGGACACGGAGGGCGGACAATGCCGGCCATGGCCGCCTAGTTGTGCTTCCCCGATACCACCGATACCGGCAGCCGACACAGTCGCGGGGCCCCTGCTGGTTGTTGTTATTGTTGGCACCACGGGCGCTTCAGCTGGTGCGCTGCAAGGCCCACCCATGATACCATCAACCCGCGGGCTGGCAAACCGCTCAGGCCCCCCAGCCAGTGGCCGTCCTGGACCCGCGCATGTTGCCTCCTTTGCTGCTGCCGCTGCCCCGTTTGCTGCTGCTGCCTCCGTGCCGCCGCCCACAGGGACACCATGGGAGGGACAGTTCGGGGCTGCCGCTGCCGCTGCCGCTGCTGCCGCCGCTGCTGCTGCTGCTGCGATTGGGCGGTTCTCCGGAAAGCCCAGCTGCTGGTACAGGGGCTGCTGCGGCGCATGGTGTGCGTGGACACCCGGAGCTCCCGGCAGCCAACCCGGCGGTGCCGCATGCAGCTGCGAGTGTTGTTGCTGCGGTTGTGGGTCTTGACTAGCCCGCTGCTCTGGTAGGGACGGAGGAGGAGCGGTGGCAGACCCGCTTTCCTGCTGCGGAGACGCAGCCCGCGGCAATGATGAGCTGTCTTCCGGGCCAGGCGGGCAAGGGGAGCAACCCCAGCCACCAGTGTCTCCGTATGACCCATGGGTCGCTGTCTGCGGTCGCAGCGGACCTGCTGGGCCGCCATCGCTGCGTGGCAAAGCGCCCGCAGCACCCTCCTCATCATCATCCTCGGACCAGCCGCACGGGCTAACACCTTCGCTCTCCGCTAGGAGGCTAGCGGAGCTGCCGCCTGCAGGACCTAAAGTCGCCAAGCCAATCGCATGATGCAGTAGCTGCTGGTGTTGCTGCTGCTGCAGGCGCCTCAGCGACCCGCCGCCGCCTCCAGCATTCGATGCGGCTGCAGATACGAGCTCGTCGCTGAGGGGTGTGGCCAGCGTCTCGCGTGCGGACAGGAAGGACTCGTTGCGGTCAGCTGCTGACAGGCAGGGCTCCAGGGGGGCAAGGTGCTGGGCTGACAGCAGCAGCGGCTGCGGTGGCTCCAGCAGCTGTTGCTGCAGTTGGGGTGGCACCTGTGAGCGCAGACGCACCGGTAGCGAGATGCAGTCATGGGGTTTGTGTTCGTAACTTCCTCCTAGCTCACATGCTTTTGGCTTCCAGCCCATGCCGCTGGACACGTCAGGCAGTGCCCCCATGCAGCCAGGCTCCACCCGCATCCATTGCTTTGCCCTAACCTGTGGTTTGGTATATGTCGGACCCACCCATCCCCCGCATACGACCTTACCTCATGTGCTGCTGCGGCGAACGCACCAGCGCCGGCTGCGCTACTGTTCGGCATGCTGCTGCCCAGGGCTGGCGGCGTGCTGAGACGACCTGCCGTGCCGCTTCCTGCACGCAATGGACGCGTTGGAAAGGGGCGCTGCCAAGGAATCTTCGAAACCGACAAGCACAGCGGTTTGCACACCATGCTAGTAGGGACTCATCCTGGTAGGGATTTATGGGCGCCACCGCCAAGCCACAAACCACCCCCCCCACATCCAGCACATGGTCTGTCACACCATCCCCCTGTAAATGCCACAATACTCACTGTTCCTGCCAAGGCCCTTCCGTACAGCCTCCTTCAGGCCGTTCACACGCTGCCGTACAGCCGTCAGCGTCTCCCCCGCCTCCGCAGTGTCCGCGTCAGCGCCGCTGGAGTAGCCGCTGGGCGGGGACATCATGTCCTCGAGCAGCGCCTCCGCATCCTCCTCGTCGCCTGCGGTTGTACGACAGTTACGAAAGGTTTACCCGGTTACTACCGTAGTTTGGTGTGGGTGTAGACAGGCTCAGGGAGGTAACAGCTGGGTGCTTGAATGTTAGGACAGTAGGTTCCGGAGGAGATTGCGACACAGGAACGATGCAGATACCGGTAGTTGCAGGTGCTAGGGCTCCTGGTGTTGCAGGAGGCGACCCGGAAAGTCCTGCTGGGCGGCTGCGCAAACTCCGAAGTGGGCCCCCCACTTTGCTCATCCTGGTCCATCCGTGTGCAAGAGTAGGTATTGGCGCCCACTCCACCGACCCAAGTTGTCATCTACCCTTATGCCCTACACGCCAGCCAAGCAACCCTTGTACCCTCCAAGTACCAACCTCCTGTAACCTCGATAGTCTCTGTCGCGAAGTAGGCCTGTCCATACATGCCAATGTGCATCCCGAACGGCGCCAGCTCGTCTGAGACGGGCAAAAGTGAAAAGCATTGTTCAGTCATGTAAACGCGACGCATGTTTGCAGCAGTCTGCTCCCTAGCTCACCGTTGACATAGAGCTTGACGTTGCGCTCCCCGGTACGCAGGGCCGTGTATTTACCAAAGCGAACTGCGATCACGGCCAATTGCAATTAAGCAAGGTGTTCGTAGAACGTAGGTGCGACATGACGGGCCATACGCACCATAGAAGGGAGTTGCCTTCCTGCTTCCGTCGGGTTGCTCAACGACCAAGATATCCACCGCGCCAGCAATATGCGGTGTAATATTATTTACAGCTGATAGTACAGCGCTTCCACCATAGACGACTCCGCTCTGCAGGCCATTGAAAGGAATTGGGGTTAAGCAAAGCCAATGGCAAACGCTTACCGAGCAACGCAAGCCACAGGTAACGCAAAGTTGTGACAAGTCGACAAGATACAAGCTTCAACATCGTGCCTTAAGTGCGCTGGACACGCGAGACGACGTCCTTGTCTTTGGCTTGGGTTCTGTCCCTAGCGGTTGAGCCATGGTGGGCAGATGGAATAACACTATGGTCCGAATCCAGCTGCGTGTCAAGGCTCTAGCATCTTAAGGTTGAGGGACAAGGCAAGGTGAAAGAATGTTGCCACGTAGGCCTGTACACGTCTTATCCTGTATACGTGAGAGGGGTCTGTATACAATATTACAGCTTACTTGGTCGTGCACAGACATGACAGACTCATGCATGTCTCCTGCTGGAGATACATGCGTGTACGACGTGGCACAGGCATCACTAACTGACGTCCGAATATCCTAGGCGGCTCTGCGTTCTACAAGTGATTCGCATTTCTATACACTCCTCTCTGCACTTCATACAGTCTCAAACCCTCTCACCTGCCTCGCACATCACCCGCTGTTTCATGCCGCTCAATAATGTCAGAAGCCAAAAGCAAAGCCGCTAAACGCCCTCTATCCGCGAACTATATTAACCTCACCCGAGCGGGTTCCCGGGATGGGCACCGCTGGGCTGCCTCTAGGCTGTAGCCCATCCTCGACCCCGGATTCGTCCACGATGGCAGGCAGCTGCCGCACCTCCACATGCCCAGCGCTTGCATTTGCGCCCTGCGCCAACGACACCTCCTCGACCCCGCCTTGCCCCTGCTCCATTTGCAACGGCCTAGCTTCCGCCGGACCCCCTTCCACCCCAGCCTGCCTCCCAGCCATCAGCAACCCATCCCCACCGCCCTCCTCCTGCGTCTCCCCAACCGACAACACCTCCACGATCTCCCAGAGATACGAAAACGACGCATCTGCGTGCAACATCTCTACAAACTGCGACCACACCGCCGGCTGCTCCTGCCTGAATGCCATCACCGTTGCAGCATCCACCAGCATCACCGCCAGCGCAACCGCCCACGCCACCGCGCCCACCTCCCGGCAAAGCTCCGAAACCGCAGCCGCCGCCAGCTCCACCCCCTCGCTGCTCCAAACCGGCAGCTCCGAAACCGCCAGCGCCAGCGCTGTCAGCAGCTCCAACGGCGTTGCCGTACCGCAGCCCTCCGCCGCATAGGGCCCATCTCGGTGCTGCATCATCAGGCCCGCCAGCCCCTCCGGGAGGAAGCTGCTCGCGTTGATGAGCTGACTCAGCGCTGCCAGGCGCCCCGACTCCAGTAGCCCCCATGCATGCTCCGCCACCAGCTTGCATGCGGCCAGGGAGGTGGCGGCGCTGCCGGCGCTGGCGCTACCTGTGGAACTGGCTGCGGACAGGACCTGCGCCAGGGAGGGGCTGCCGGGCGCTGTGGCGCCGGCGCTACCTCCCGCTGTGGTGCTGGTCGTGATGGTGGTGGTGCCATCACCTCCGCCTAGCAGGGCCAGTGTTTGCTGCACCCCGGAGGCGGCTGCAGCGGCTGATCCCCCGGTCGCAGCCTTCGGGTTCATGGCAGCGGTGCCGCTGCCGCTGCTGCCGGCCAACCCCTGCGATGCCGCGGCCCCCGCGTGCTGCTGCTTCTGCTCCTCCGCAGGCTGCTGCTGTGTGCTGCCGGGCTCACTGCTCCCGGCGCCGTACCCCAGCAGCCAGCCCAGCCATGTCCGGCCACCGCCACCTCCACCGGCAGCTTGCTGCTGCCCTGTAGCGGCTTCCTGCTGGGGGGCTGCGTGCTGCTGATGCCGCTGCTCCTGCTGCTGTGGGTGCAGGGCTTGCTGTCCAGTAGCCTGCTGCTGGTGCTGCTGTTGATGCTGCTGCTGGTTGCTGTCCTCTGGGCCCTCCGGCAGCTGTGATAAGCTGCCCACCACAAGGGGCTCCTCCCGGGGGCCGACCGGCGCCCCGTCGAGCTGACCCGAGAAGGACAGCTCTGCGGAAGCGGGGGAAGAGGAGAGGATACGCATGCAGGGTGCATGATAAAGGAACTCAACTCAACAAATTAGTACTGGTACCGCACATGTAGCAATACTTCTCACCGCCCCTCAGGTCCCCAAAGCCCAAGAAATAACCATAAACACGCTTCCGATACGGAACCACATGTCTTCATGTAATCTGCGCCTCATGCTCTACACAGCTCTCTTTCAGCGTCTTTCCCGCCCAGCCACTCCTCTTCCTCCTCCTCATCCCGCCCCCCCCGCCCGCCCACCTGTCAGCGACAGCCGCCCCTCCGCCTCGTGCTCCGAGGGCGGCACCACGAAGCGCAGCAGCTCGCAGCACAGCGAGTACTGCCCGCCCCGCAGCGAGCTGCGCATCAGCCGCAGAGCCTGAGCCTGGGCCGTGTGGGCGCCCTCCAGCCTGCAGCAGCGGGGAGCAGGGAGGTTGGGAGCAGGGAGGTTGGGAGCAGGGAGGTTGGGAGCAGGGAGGTTGGGAGCAGGGAGGTTGGGAGCAGGTCCCAACAGGTGTTGTCTTTGCTCGCATCCCTCTGCGACTCTGCAGTTGCTGCAACCACCACCACCAACACACACCCTCTTCCCACCTCCCACGCATCCACTCCTCACGCTTCATGTGCGTTTACCCTGGCTTGAGTGCTTTAGCATTCCTCTGTGGGAATCCCACCCCATCCCGCACCTCAAACCCGCACCTGTCGACAATGAGCAGGAAGCAGGCTGCACTGGCCAGGTAGCCCGCCTCCACCAGCCCCTCCAGCAGCGCACTGGGGCTGCCCACCGCCGCGAACAGCGGGGGCCACAGCGCCGCGTCCGTCTTGCGCGCCACGCTGACCACCACCTCCGCGAACAGGGAGGGGAAGTGGCGCACCAGGTCGGCGGCGGCGCACAGCAGGGACTGCATGCATGAGGCGGAAGGGGGGGGGCAGAGGGGTGTAAGAAGAATGGTTCAAGCATGATGCAGGTATCCGACTAGGTTACTTTCTTTGCCAGGACTGGTTCGATAATAAGGCACCGGTAGTAGGTAAAGCATGGGTTAGAGGAGCGGACCCCATCGCACCTGGGGCTGCCCTTTCTCGCCCGTATCCGACGTAGCCGCGCTGCGCCCCCCTGCTCCCCCTCCTGCGCCCCCCGTGTCGATGTCAAGTGCCGTGAACAGCAGCCACTCCAGGGAGCGAGCAAAGTGCGGGCCGCGCGCGTGGCGGCGAGCCAGGGACACCGCCTCCGGGAAGGCCCCCCGCTGCAGCAACCTGCGTGGAGGAGAAGGAGGAGGAGGACGTAAAGAGGGAGCGGGATAGTTTTATAGACCTTAATAGCTGGATAGCTGCATGGGCGTAGTGCATATACGAGCTGAAGGAGCGGAAGAGGGGTAGGGCAGGCGAGCGTGTCTGAACAGGAAAACCTAGCGGGAGGTGCACGGACTATGTCACGAGCAAAGAAGACTAGCGGTACGTGTCGTAAATGCCGTATGTCGTACATTGCCGTACCTTCGAAGCAGGCATGGCAGCACAGGTTGTGACTCCGGAATGGGGTGGAAGCAGGGCAGCTGCGCGGCCGAGGCAGCGGAGAAGCAGCCCGAGGACAGCAGTCCGGCGGGTCCGCGCATGATGCGTTGTGTGATACCGATGATGGCGTCGTCAGCCAGGGACACACCCACCGGGTATACCTCCTGCGGGAGGAGGAGAGGGTTGGGGCGTTGTCGAGGGCAGGGGCAGGGACCTTGTTGTTGGGGTGGTTTTGTTTGAGGCTGGCGGGCAAAGCGCGGTCGCCCTAGGGAGATGTCCCAGATGTCCCGGATGGCGGAAACTGTTAAACCGGAGTAGTACAATCCCTGCTGAAAGAACATACGGGGAGCTGGTTCGGGCATGTTATTGCTTATTGGCAGCAAACCGTGTCACTAGGCGCGAAGAGAACGAGAGAAGCACCCCCCGGACACACCTGGTCAAACTCCAGCTCGATGTCTTGCCCCGCCTCCTTGTGGCTCCCAAAGTACGGCAGCGCTTGTGCCGTATCCAGCGAGGAGGGGAAGCAGAGTTGCATGCCGGCGGGGCCGTACAGCCACCACGGCATCTCAACATCCAACGTCGTTGATGCCGTTGATGCTGACGTCGTTGCTGTTGATGCTGCTGGCGCCGCCGCCGGCGACACCGACGGTAGCGTTGCTGAGGCACCACCGCCTGGGTGCCCTTCGGCTTGTTGCTGCTGGGGATGCGAAGAGCCGGCTGCAGCTGCTACACTCCCAGCCGCTTCAGCTCCCAACGCCGAAGCCGAGCTGCTGTCAGGTCTGAGCTCCCCGCCGCAAGCGCCGCCGCAAGCGCCGCCGCTGTTTGCGGCCGCCGCTGCCGCCGCCGCTGAGAGGCCTCCGGAGCCGCTCCCTCCCAGCACCCCGCCGCTGCCGGCTTTCACCTCCGCCCGACACGTGATGGCGTCGCTCAGCCAGAACGCCTCAACCTCCTGCGCCAACGCCTGCTCCGACCCCTTCTCCAGGTCCAGCACGCTCAGCAACCCGCCCCACCGCAACAACACACACTGCCGGGGCGAAGCCCCCGACCCCGCACCTCCACCACCACCACCGCCGCCGCCGCCCATGCCGCCATTCGCCGCCGCCGCAGCAGCCGCTACCGGCATCACCGGCACGAGTGCCACGTCCGACAGGTGACGACCCACATCAAACATGGAGATCTGTCGCAGGGTTTGGATGGAGGCGCGGGGGTTGCCCGTGGGCGCTAGCTCCCCCAGCAAGGTCACCTCCAGCAGGCTGATCTCCAGCGGCTCCGAGGCCAGCAGGATGTGCGAGCCCAGGCAGTCCATGGCGAGGGGCGGCTGCTCCAGGGGGTATCTGCGGAGGGGGGGAGGGAGCGATGGAGAAAGCGGTCAGCATGCACTGATATGACCACTAGATCCATGTCATCTTCCTGCGGCAGAAAGCGGTTGCTGTTCCCCTCTCCCCAGCTTTCCCGAACAACTTCCTGCTTCTCATCCCCTACGCGGCAAGCACCAGGTTGCCCCCTACCTGGCCAGCAGCGAAGTGAGGTCCAGGTGGTAGCGAGGCAGCAGCAGCAGCTCACTGGCTGCCACACCGCCATGGCCGCCGCCCGCCCCCCCGCCCCCCAGCGCCCCCCCAGAGCTGCTGGAGGGCAGGGGGGCCGCATGCGGGTCGGGTCCCGAGCAGGCCACCAGCACCCCCGCGCCCAGCCAGCCCAGCGCCCGGCAGCTGACCTGCCGCTCCTGGCTCACGTCGCCGAACAGCCGCCACCTGCAGACGGACGGACAGAGGGACAGGGGCGGGGTAAAGGCAGCAGTTGTGTGAGGGTGCAGTGTAGGTGTGAGATGGAATTCATGGGAGTGGAGCAGCTTCCCGCTTTCCCGCGACGTCCGTTGGCGGACGTACGGGGGCGTAAGGCCCTTGCATGTGCCTACCAACACACTCCCGATGCCATGCAAGCCAATGCGCAAGCCCCAAGGGCCCGACAGGGAGCCCCAGCGCGAACCGCACCTCGCGCCCACAAGACTCTCACACATCCACCCCGGTCAGGGTCAGTGTTTCCACGGTTCAGTTTATCTAAACCCCCACCCCTCCATCTTCTATGGCCATGCTCAGTATTTTAACGTGTCATGTCTTCGCTGCATCCCCCAAACCCCCCCTCACCTTTCCGTGGCCCTGTTGTATACCGCGAGGCCGCACCGCCCCGCCACCGCTATGTCGTCCCCGCTGGCGCTGAGTGCGGTGCGCTGCAGCGGCCAGTTGGCGGACACGTAGCTGTGCGGCGCCGGCACGTGGGTCACGGTCAGGTCTCCGACCTGGGTGGGGGCGGGGAGGAGGGTTGGGTTTTAAGGGGGAAGGGGTGGGAAAAGAAGAATCCCAAGGTGTGGGCGGGGGTGATGGGGGGGAGTGGCACACAGCCGAGCGGAACTGTAGGTGACAGCATAAGGGAGTAACAGAGGGAGCAGGAGGGCGGCTTGTATGCATAGTGGAGGCAAAAGCGGACTGGGCATGCAGTCGGGCGACGACTACGCTCCGTTCTTGCCAGCCCGCCTGCAATGCAATGCAAGCCGCTCACCCACCCACCCACCCACCCACCTGCCCCACCGCCGACTCCTCCCCCCCCGCCCACGTCGCTCCCCCCGCCGCCGCCTCCCCCGCCTCCCGAATCAGCAGCAGCCGGTCATGCGCCTGCAGCACATGCACCTCCTCGTCCGCCGCGCCGCTGCCCAGCCCCCCGCGCGCCACCCTGTGCTGCCCCGGCAGGCTGTGCGCAAACACCACCTCCACCAGCCCGCCGCCGCCGCCAGCACCGAGACCCAGCCCGCCGCCGCCGCCCACCTCCGCCACTGACAGCTGGTAGCCCATAGGGCCCCAACACAGCGCGCTCACGCCGCCGTCTAGCGGAACCTGGGGTGGCGGCCCCGGCGGGGCGCCGCCGAGGGTGGAGGCTGGGGTGCGGGGGAGCAGCAGCGAGCGGCTGCTGTGCTCGGGGGCGTTCATGGAGCGGCGGGCTAGGCTGGGCTGCGCGGAGAGGCCGCGGGAGGCGAGGGAGGGGAAGGCGGAGAGGGCGCCGGGGGGCGGCTGGCGCAGGCTGCACATGAGGCGGCAGCCCGAGGGCGACCACACCACCACACCCTGCCCCGCGTAGCCCACCGCCAGCGCTCGGCCGTCGGGGGACCACTCGATCTGGGTCGGAGGAGGAGGCAGCGAGGTTGGAAGAGGAGTGATCCGGGAGAGAGGGAGAGGCGGCTTGGGGTGCAATGGAGGATTAATCATCAGCTGCTGTGGTTCCCCTTCCACGTCTGGCCTCTTCAACCACGGTTTACCACGTGCACGCGTGTGCAAGCCCCCGCCCCCCTGTCCCACCCCACCTGCGCCACGGGCCCCGTCTGCTGCACCTTGTGCCCCCAGCTCTCCAGCGACAGGGTCCGCACCGGGGGCTCCAACGCCGCCCCGGCGGCCCCTCCGGAGGCACCCCCGCTGCCACCACTGCCCGGGAAGCCGCCCGGGTGCGAGTCCGGACCCCCCGGGGAGCCGTTGGCCGTGCGGTGCAACCTGCAGGAGGGCGGGTAGCGGATGTGGGGAGAGGGATGGCAGGGGTTCCCCAAGTCTTCCCCGCCCCTCAACCCGTGCCTCGTCCACCGCCTACACGGCCCCCTGCCCGCACGCAACCCACTCTCCTCTACCCTCCCCACCTCCTCCATCCCCTCCACCTGCTCTCCCCACAACCCATCCATCACCCCCTGCCCTTCCCCGTCCCAGCTCCTGCTGCTACGGCTGCTTCCACCGCCCCAGCTTTCCTTCCCCGCACCTGAACAGCTCCACCTCGCCATTTTCCCGCCCCACCGCAATCAGCTGCGCCCGCGCGCACACCTGCGCATACACCGCCTGCTGCGCCGGTCCGCACAGCCACCGCCCGAAACACAGCTCGGGCAGCGGACTCAGCCCGCCCTCCGCCGTACTGCACACCGCGCAGGCACCATCCGCCAGCACCATCACCACCTGCTTGCTGGCCTCGCAGTAGCTCATCTGTACGATGGCACGACTGAGCTCCGAGGGAGGGATGCCGCTGTAAGCCCGCCCCGGTGGCGGCTGAGACAGGGCTGCTGCGGAGGCGGCTGCCGGCGCGAAGAGGCTGTTGCTGCTGCTGCCGCCGCTGGCACCGGGGCCCGGGCCCAGGCTGGCAAAGGAGTTGCCGCCGGCCGGGGTGGTGGCGGGTGGCGGGGGGTTGCCGCTTTGGGAGGTGATTGAGTCGGCAGGGAGGAAGTCGGGGGTGAGGTAGGGGGGCGGGAGGGTGTCCTGCCAGGGTTGGGATTCGGGGAGTGGGGAGAGGCCGCCGCTGCTGTGCTGTTGGGCGCCGGCGGGGCGGTAGGGGGGCATGCGGGGGCTGGGCGAGGGTTCGTCCTCGGCTGCGAAGAAGTCGTCGTAGAAGTCGGTTGCGTCGTCCAGGGGGTAGGCCACCTCACGCATCTGTGGTGGACATGGACCGCATGGTTCGAGGAGGCGTGTTTGGCACTTGTGGGCAGGGATATCCGGCCGTTCGGAGAGCTGGTGGGTTAGGCACTCCCCAACAGGTACCACCAGGTACATGCACGCACCTTTCCGTTCCAGGACAGCGATGCAACGGTGCCATCCGCAAACCCGACGAGCAACAGACGGCTATCCCCGGTAAGGGAAAGCGCCCGCGCCTCGCTCTCCATGCGAATGCTGTTCCGGAGGTAAATATCCACTTTCTGGATGTCCTTTGCGGCGGAGTTGCACGAGGGGTGCAACAACGTGTCCTTCCATGAATGGATCGCATATAAATGCAGGTAATTCTCCGACGTCTGCGGAGAGTGAGGGTTTTCAAACGTAAAATACAAGCTGATGACCATAAAAAACAGCCCAAATCCGTTGCCTTTCAGAAACTACTTTCTTGCAAGGGCCAGAATAACGCTTGAAACCCTGATCAGTCTTGCAAGTATGCCCCGGTAAACAATCCAATCACTACAATACGCACCAGGATGGCCAGCGTTGCTTTTGCAGGGGACCAAAGCGCTGCCATATGCCATCCCTCTTGCTTGACATCCTCCTCGTTCCGAATGCATTCGCTAAGCTTAATCCTGTGTAGACCTCCTGTCCATAGCTGTACGCATGTACGCGACACAGCGAACAGGTATTTTTCGGTTGCATGCAAATAAACATATGTGTCGCCAGCGGGAAGGTCAGTCAAGGCCACCTTGGGCCAGCCGTAAGCAAAGTACATACTGCCGAGTACTAGGCGTAGCCTGGGCTAGGCATGGGTATCTCATAGGAAGTAAGGGATGGCGAAAGGGCGGGAGGAGAGTGGGGTTGCCGAAACATTTCAGTTTATCCTGCACGTCATTGCGATGTAAGTTTTTGATCTAACTACAGCTTCGCAGCTCGCATAATTTCCATTTTGGCTTCGGTGCCGTGCATCCGGCCGGGATTGGGCACGATGGCGAGGGCAAAGTTCAAGACGATACCAAACGCATCGCACAAGTCATACTACTATATATATAGATACTTATAATACGATGCCATCAACGGACACCAATCCCGCGGGCGAAGCAGACGCCGACGCACCGACGGTGGTAGTAGCCGGACCGCAAATCCTTGTGTCCGTTCCAATCAACGGATACAAAATCACCATCGCAAAACGCAACCTCGACCATTTTGACGCGCAGGTACGCAAAATACGGCCGATGCCTTCCACCTTTACGGCAACTTTACTGCCCGGACGTACCTCCCCTATTTCTCCCATCCTTACAGACAATAACTCACCGCCCCTCACACGCTTTCCCTTCCTTCCTTCCTCCCTTCTCCACTCCCTCCCTCCTGCTCCTGCCTCAACAGGACCCCTACTTCTTCGACTCCGACTACACCATCGCCGGCTCCACCGGCTTCCTCCTATGGGAAGCCAACTGGCTGCTGCTCCGCCTGCTTCGTGGCAAACACAACCCACAACCCCACCTCCCACCCGCTACCACTCCCCCCGCCACACCCTCCTCACCCCCCGACTCCAACAACCCTATCACCGCCCCCGCCTCCAGCCTCCCTGCTCCCTCCGCAGTCCCCGCACCCTCACCCAACGCTCCCCCAGCTCACACCTCCTCCCTCCCCACCCACCACCACCACCACCACCACCATCACCACCAGCCCCCTGCCCCCCTCCACCTCGGCCAGCTGCTGGCGGGCCGGCGGGTGCTGGACCTGGGGTCAGGCACGGGTCTTGCGGGGCTGTGTGCGGCGGCGTGCGGCGCACATGTGCTGCTCACCGACCTGGCTTCCGTGTGCTCCGGGGCACTCAGGCAGAACGTGGAGCGCAATGCGGCAACAGCGGCGGCGGGGTCAGCAGCGGAGGGTGAGGATGGGACAGCGGCGGGGGCGCTAGCGTCCACAACCGCAGCAGGGGTGGGAGGTGGTGGCAGGGGCGGTGCGGAGGACGCCCTGGCAGCGGGGGTGCAGCGCACCGGCGGTCGTGTTGGCCCCTGGCGTGGTGCGGTGCGGGTGGGGGCAGGCAGCGCTGCGGTGATGGCGCTGGACTGGACGGAGCCGCTGGAGGGGCAGGTGGCGGCGGCAGGGGCCGGCGGGAACGACCCACGGGACGCGGAGTTCATCCTGGCAGTGGTGGGTGGTGGGCTGGTAGCGGTGGGGAAAGGTGGTGGGGAAAGGCGGTGGAGGGAGGCGGTGTTTTGGTTGCTGAGGGGAACGCATGCATGTTGCGTAAAGCAACCCGTGCATGTTGGATTGTTGGTGTGAATCTGTGTTGTGAGTCGAGGAGGTAGCAGTTCCCGTGATGACAGCGGCCGTTTGGGACTTCAGGGCCACAAGGAAGATGGAGCGAGGCAGACGCTTTGTTTGCCAGCTTGCCACTTCCGCTCTCCCTCCTTCCCTCCTTCCTTCCCTCCTCTTCCCCCACCACCACCACCACCTAAGCTCACTCCCCTCCGCTGCCCCCGCAGGACACCATCTGGCTGCTAGACATCTTCCATTGCTTCCTGGACGTCGTGCTGGCCGTCCTGCGCAGGGGCAACACCACCCGCAGCAGCAGCACCGGTGGCAGCAGCAACCAGGACAGCAACAGCAACAGCAGCAGTGACAACACCGCGAGCACCAGCAACCCCAGCAGCAGCAGCAGCACCCCTGATGCTGCTGGCGAGCGCGCCTGCTTCCTGGCGTTCGTGGAGCGAGCAGGCGAGGACTCCAAGCTGTTCATCCGCAAGGAGGCGGTGGAGCGGGAGCTGCGGGCGCGGGGCTGCAGGGTAGATGCGCTGGTGGCGGAGGAGGTGGAGGTGGACGGGGTGATGCGGCCGGGGCGGGTGCTAAGGGTGACGCTGGCGAAGGGAATGGAGAGGGCGGCAGAAGCGCAGGAAGAGCGGTAACAAGGGGGGGGCTGGAGTGGTGGTTGATGGCGAGGGGGCAGGGCCGGGTGCTCTGGGCGCGCGATGCTAGCGGGGGCGGATGGCAGGGCTGGGGGCAGCAACAACAACGCCGGGGAAGGAAGTCCGGCAGCAAAGCAATGAAGGATGGGGTGCAGCAGTAGCGGGATGGAGGTACTGGAGCCAGTGCTGCGGACCGTTAGACCCGTTGCTGCAGAGGAGGAAAGGAGCAGCGGCAGCCGCTAGGGTGGATTACAGGTTGCTGCAGTGGAGGGCGGGAACTGATATGCCGTGAATGGCTGTGCTGAGCAGCGCCGTTCCGACCTCCGAGCGTGCGGGTCCCTGCGGGCGGTGAACTGATGTGGACGATGGGGGCGGGGGTGGCTGGGCAAGCCTATTACCTACCAGCCCGTGTGCTGCCATGGGCGTTTCAGGCGTCCTGTTTCTCCCTACTTGCTTGGGGACCACCTTGCGTGGACTTTTACTTATTAAGCTTAGTCGGTACACGGGCAAACGGACTTCCAACAATTATGTTGGAACAACGGAAAGCAATAAAAGGGCAGCGTCAACTGTCAACTAACGCAACAACGCAACAGCGCAGTCCCAACTGCAGCAGGCCAACCGAGTGTCTACTGTAACACCAAGAGGAGAGCCGGCTGGTATTTCCGGACCCAAAACGAGCCAGATAGCAAATTAAGGCAGTCGCCTTCAATCAGAAAACACAGGAGAATCTGATTAACCATATACCTAATTACCATTGCCTTACAGCCCATGATTCAAAACACAACCCCACTCAACTTGAACAACACTACGCGCTGTATTGCACCATCACCCCGCACCGCTGTGCGCCCTCCCTCCCGCGTGCGGACGACGTAAAGATTGTATTTTGAACTACCCATGTGTACGGTATCCCCAAGTGCGGATTGTAATGTGAACTCCGAAACGGGTGTTCCATCCCCGCATAGTGAACCCCCACGCGCTTCTCGCGCACATGCCGTACAACAACACAACACAACCACAAACAGCACTCCCGGGTAACACCCCCACATCGCTACTACACATCCACCACTGCAGGGCCCGACGGCTCCATTGCTGCCGCCGCCCTCGCCGCCCCCACCTTCCGCACCTGCCCCTCCTCTCCCTCTTCCTCCACCATCTTCTGGAGCGCTCCAAACACACCCGGCACGCCGCTCTGTTGCCTAGACCGCTCCTCCTCCACCGCACCTCCCTGCCGGCGGCCTTCCGCCGTCACCCCTTCCTCCTCCTGCGCTTCCTCCGGCCCCAGCGGCTTCAGCCCAAAGCTCGACAGGTCCATCTTCCCGAGCTGCTCCCCAACCGCCGCCGGGCTCACGTCAGCAGGCACCTCCGGCAGCGCCGACTCGGGCAGAGGCTCACGCATGGCAGCAACCGCCCCCGCCGGCGGCGCCTCCGCCGCCCCCGGCGGCGGCAGGCCCAATCCCGTGAGGTCCTTCCCTTCAACCTCCTCGTATCCAGGCGCCGCCGGGACGTCAGCAGCGGGGGCAGCGGCCGTCGGCGGCGGCGTCGGCTCCTCCTCCGCCTCCTCCAATGCGCCAGCCGGTCCCGGCTCGCCCCCGGCACCCATCCTGCCGTACACTCGCGCCTGCTCGGGGACCTGCACGCCGCCGTTGGCGCCGACGCCGCAGCGCACCGGCGGCGGCATCGAGCTCACCGCCGGCGGTATGGCAAAGCGACGATCGAAGCCACGCATGGCGGCGGCGGTGCCGCCAGCCACCTCCTCGTCAGATCCAGCGTCGCCGCCGTCCCCGTGACCAACACCTGGCTCGCCGCCGGCGCCAATCCTGCCGTACACATTCGCCGGCTCCTCCGACGCCAGGGCACTGAAGGCGCCGCCGCTGCCGGCATCCACTGCCGCCAGGAAGGCATCCGTGGCGGCTTCTTGCGCGGCGGCGGCGGCGCCGGTGGCGGCGGCGGCGGCCTCGACGGCGGCGGCGGCGGCGTCCATGGAGGCGGCGGAGACGTCCGCCGCCGCGTCGGCGGCAACGATGGCGGCGGCGGCCTGCTGCGCCGCCCGCGCGACGGCGGCGGGGGCGCCACCGCTCTCCAAGGTGCCGTACTCGGTCGGCCTGTACAACGGCACTTCAGGATAGTCCGGCGGAGGCGCCGCTGCCGTCAGCTCTCCGCCGCCGCCGCCACCTGCACGGATACACCGGTAGCAATCCCCCGGTGAGTTCGCGCACCAAGCAAAACAGGGTGCGTAGCAAAGAGGGGCGCAAAGGTAAGCATGGAAAAAGTGCGACCAAAAACCTAATGAACAGCCGAGAACGCACCGAAGGGCTCCATGGCACCTCCTTCGCCGCCCGCAGCTGCCGCAATGGGCGGCACGGGTGCGTCAGGGCCCACAGCGGCGGCGGCGGCGCCCAGAGACGTGGCCGTCGGCGCCAGTGGCGGGTACGGCACTGGAACCAGCGGCTCTGCGAAACCGGTTGCAGCAGGGGGGTGAATGCCGGTGGTGCCTGTGTGGGTAGGGGGGTCCGGGTCCTCTTTCTCAATCAACGCCGCCTCCCAGAGCTTCGGTCAGGACAACCACAGGCCAAGCGTTCCCGATATTCCCCCCACACTCGTGCATCCGAAATTACGACTACCGATAAGATCCCACATCTTCTTTAGTCCCTTGGGTTTCTCTTACCCGGAATCGCCGGCTCGGGACCGAGCAACGTATCCACCACAAAGCTAGCCGGGCCGCCGGAGGGCGTGCGGCCCTCCGCCGCCGCCGGCGTCAGGTGCTGCTCCGGCGGCGGCGCCAGTCCCGCCGTCCCATGGGTCGCCACGTCGTGCATCTGCTCCCGAGCGGCGGACGCCAGGTCGGAGGTGGCGGCGGGCGGCAGTGCCGTACCGCCTGAGAGGGAGAGGCGGAGGGAGGGTGCGCAGAGAGCGTGAGGCGGCGCCCGCAGTAGCAGCATCAGTAGCAACATCAGGGACAGAAGGGACCACGCAGCGTCAGCTGGTGGATCAGCAGGCTTTGACGGCCAGCATGGATTAAAGCCTGGAGGCCACAGGA